GCCGAATTAGCGTTTCCATTTTCCGCTTTTTTTATGACCCGAAAAACAAAAAAAACCCCCCATAAATATGTATGTCTGTGTGTACATACAGATGTAAGCCAAAGATTTTGGCAAATCCCAAATGTATGTATGTACACACATATGTATGCATTTTAAGCCACGGTATCCCCACACAAACGCACGCAAATACAAATAAATGCGAAGGCACCGCGCTACTTTTTAATATGAGCTGCTACACCATTAAACAATTATTAGCGGTTAGGACAGGTTATGGTTGTTTCCAATGGGAAGTAATACACAAACCTTAAGCAGACGCAAATTGAAAGTACACTGTAATAAAAACGCGCTGAAAGAAATATAAAAATATACATATTTAAATTAGGCTTATCGGTGCATTATTTTATGTTGCCGGAAATACGGAAATCAAGCCAAGCGGGTTTTGGCATAAAAGAAATAGAAAACCCAAATAATTTTCCTGTTATGCACCTACATATGTATATTAAATTATAGTCTTTCTTTTTGCTTGCTCTTAATGGGCTATCCTGCATAACATACAATTGAAATATATTTTCAGATCGGTTTTGCAGTGTTGCCAGATTGGTATCATAAGTAAACAGCTGTTGATTGATACCGTTAAATAATAATATTAGGACTTTAAATCAGAGTTGTAGATGGACAAATTAGGTGAAAATATAAGAAAAATGGAACATGTTAAGAGGATTATAATGCTCAAAAGAAGATTCTTACATTTTAGAAGAACATTTAGAAGTGAAGTGATTTTATTCATATTGCTAAACACTTCAAATCAGCTTTTCATTTCAGCTTATCGCAGTTCCGTCCCAAATAATCATAAAACAATTACCCACATTAAATTGTATATGCATTTTTTAATAATATTTGATCCAGCATTTAGTTGAGTGCGTTTTTTAAAGTTGCCACATTTCAGCACAATTTTTGTATAAAACACATTAGTTGAACACTGTTCCAATACGAAAGTCATTATATCCGAATTCAGATCTGGTAAGGTGAAGTTTGAAGTAATGCCATTTATAGGATCCTCAAGGCGTTTGATCTCCTGCAAACATAAACTGGATTAGTCAAATATTCTGACAGTATGTATTTTAATAATGCAGCTTCGTTAGGGAAGTGCTGCATAATAAATAAAAAAAAAACGGAAAATCGACAGCAAGCCCACGGTGCAGGGTCTCATAAAACCAAGCAACGTTGATCGAACGAACAATGGTAATTTTACTTTAAGAAACACTTTATAGCTTAAAAGTGTTGGGTTCATTTTAAGATAGATTACCTGATTTATGTGTTAGCGCTTTGCTGCCAGTCGATTTGGACTTCATTTGCGAGCAAAGACACCGTATTGCGATCTTGAAAATATATTATCTTCGGTCAAAGCTAAAGAGTTTTATCGAAATAACAGCTAATCGCTGGCTCGAACCCAAAACCAAAAATCTACACGCAAATATTTTGGGAAGAATCTCATCCACAAAACGAACATTTTTAGTTAGGTTTTGGTCAATACAGTTTTGTAGATTTTCTATATAGGCAGTCATAGCCAATAATCTATTTTCGATTTAATGCATTAAAACATACTCATACTTGATTATCGTATGTTTGATTGATCGTCTAACGCATTTTATTACTATACTATGTAACCAAAGTATTTCTGTATATTAATATGTAAAGCATTTAAAATGCAATACATTTAGTTGTTATCAGAGTTATCCGACTGATTTAAGAACAATAAATTATAGATTTTTTTTCTTGATTTGATGAAGACTTATATCATGCGTAAAGTATAAGTATAAGTTCATACCAATTCAGATAAACTTTTCCCTTGCAATCATTAGAATGCAGTCATTCCACTCAAAATTCAAAAACAAGAAACCGAATAACCACCATATATTATAAAAAAAAAAACAACAAATAAAATATCAGATATGTTCTTTCGATGGTCTAACAATCATTCATTATCCATTTACTTTTTGAGACGAAAACCATCCAGTTTTGTAGTTTTAAACCATTGGAGCAGAGCTGAATTAGTTTTTTTCAGAAAATTGGATGAAATGATCACCAATTTGTACTTTAATTTAGATGGATAAAACCATTATTTTAGTCATAAGCCGCCTAGGTAACTTTTGATTTTCGCCCACTGATACTCTGAGTGTTTTATTGCAATATTTTGCATAATTTAGGCGTACTTCATTGATGCCCTTCGTGATGATATAATTATGCAATATGCAAGAAGCAGTAGCGGTTGGATGTTCTATAAACGTACATATAGTTTATTGAAACCAGTACTTTTTTATATATATGAATATATGAAATTGTTTTGAAAGCTTGAAAAAAGAAGAACAATGGGAAATAAGCGAGGGAAAAGCTACTATACCAGAAGGACAATCTCGGCGAGTAACAGGGTAATAAAAAAAATAAAAATTGATACTCCCGAAAGGTTTTATACCCTACCTTTCTGCAAAAGTTTAGGCCTAATCGAAATAAATTGTGTAAGAGTACAGCAAGCAAAGCTCCTCATTTTGCAATTAATTGCTGACAAAAGAAATCGGGTTCGACCCCTAAATTGATAATTGTGCCATATAAGACATTATCCCACAAATCGTAGTTCAAATATTATTTGTGTTCACAATATTACACTAAGTGCAATAGAGCGACGTTCCGTCTAAAAAGATTCCAATGTCATTGTACATGCAATGCGATGCAAGTCATCATTACATTCATTAAATAAACCTGTAAAAAAACTTGAATATGTAAATAATTTAATTATTTTATCTGTAGGGAGGTAAATTAATAAAAATTTCACAAGGGCAGGCATTACCTTTTCCCATTCGCCATGGCATTCAAATATTCATCCTTCTCAGAGACCATTTTTCATGGAAAATCGCAAGACGTTGTTTTGTTAACCCACATTCTTCATTTCACACCGACCCCCTCTTTTCCCACAATAACTACCAAAGTGTATCGCCTTTAATTGCTAAAAACCTATGCAATGCATTGTTTTGAGCGCCTTCCTTTCATTGTTCTTAATAACTCATTTTCAGCAGAGTAATTATGATATCTTAATATATCTAATCCAAATGAATATTACGATACGAGAACAAAATTTCAAAATTGATTAAATGGCATTTTAAGAATGACGAAAGCAAAAAGCCAAATTTTCTATTCCTTTTCTTTTTTAACTTTAAAAATATATATAAGATATGAGCTTCAATAAAATGAATTAAAAAAATTTTTGTGCCAACACCCAGACTTCATCAAAATGTAAATATTCCATGTTTGGTTTCAAAGTTCAATTAGATAATTACATTTCCCATTCAATGTACAAAATGTTAACAATATTGTGATTCAATTGTTGGTCAATTGAACGAAAACTAGCAAAAAATACGTAGAATATGAAGAAAAGAACCCATTCGATATTTTTATCTTGGAAGTCTATATACCTGTTACTCGAGGAGTAGAAGGGTATATTAGATTCGTTGATACATATGTATATTTTCTTGATGGGATTTCTGGTCGAGTCGATCCGGTCATGTCCGTCTGCTTGTCCGTATGTTTGTCCGTATCTTGAACGACAATATTTCGAAATTGTAATTAAGCAGTCAGATTCCAGACGCGTATGCAGTGTGGAAACAGTCGCTATGCTGCTTTTATACGTTCACCCCCCCCCTCAGGATACAGGGTAGTTGATAGTCGAGGCACTCGACCATAGCGTTCGCTCCCATTTTTCAAGTTGGTACGAACCGCAAAAATCTACTACCCCGAATAAAGTGTTGAAATGCCAATCGTAAAGTAAGATTACTATGGTGAGATGCTGTTAGGAATTCTTTCCATTGATGCGTTGCAACTTGTGACAAAAATACTTTCTGTAAGGGTATAAGAATATTAATATAATAAGTACAGGTAAATCCGGAATAAATCCAGAATAAGTTGACGTCTTCATCCCATTATAACATTGTAATATTCGCATGGGAACTTTAGAGTTCAATTTCGGTTTATATTTTGTCCCGACAAAATTAAAAAAATTGAAGAGATGCTATACACTTTAAATTGTTTATTAATTTATTAAAAGTCATTTTCTGTGCCAACACCCAGAATTCAACAAAATATAAATATTTCATGTTTGATTTCAAAGTTCAATGTTTGTTTGATTAAAGTAGCATTTTGAATATACTATTATATATATTAAAATGATTTGTATGACAATTAATTACATCTACATTTAAACTGTTGCTGTGTGGGTCTGCCCATGTTTTTTTAAGCAACATGAAAGGTATGTGGGTATTAAACACAAACAAGTGTTTGATTTCTATATTAACACAAAGATTCATTCAGCAATCGTGGGTTTCATTGCAAAAATATGGCCTAAATGACCAAAATCTAGCCTTAGCAATGTTGTGATTTCAAGTAGCATCCAAAATCGGCGAGAAATGTATATCCAATCCATTAGCGTTTGAATGTTTTTCCCTTACATTTTCCCCAACACGAAAATTATTTCCCAAAATTCCATTTACTAAAATATTCTACTTTGTTAGTTAATAGCAGAATAGTTCATAAAAAAAAGGGCAAGAAACGAAAAGTTAAAAGAATACATCAACATGTATTAAAAAAAATGTTTAAATAATTCTAAGAATAATATGTTACCAAACGTAATAATAAAACTGATTGAAAACGTTCTTATTTGAAATAGACAATAAAAATATGCAAAAAATAATATGTAATTTAGACTGAAGAAATATTTAGTTCTGCAATTAGACTACACCCAGAAACGAAGTTGTTAATCATAACTTAATGAAGGAATCAACAAAGTACTGGGAAAGCTTAGAATATTTCTGCATAACAGAAATGTCCACCAGTGGAGGACATCAAATCAGATAAAAGATCCAGACCAGATCAAGTCCATGCGCTCATCCGGAATACTCACCAGATTCTCAAAGTGTTCTTTACTTTTTTGAATTAATATAAAGTTTATCATGTTCATATAAGTCGATTAGCAATATATCTTTATATATATTTCATTTGAATGGTGGACAAAAAAGAATTATATTACCGGAGAATGTAGGTCGCCACATACATAATTTAAATTATCGTTATGATTAAGTATATGTACGTAATGATTTTGTTTTTTGGTGCAGCGTTGCACTTATAAGCAATCATTTTGGGATTTAAACTGTATAATATTTTGTCATTACACATTGCTTGTTAGTTGACTGTACAATTTAGTACCGATAGACGTTTAATAATATTTGACTAAATATTAAATCAAATCAAATTTGGGTGCATTCGATAAGATGATCCTTTTAAGCAAGTTCATTCTGCTCGCTGACAAACGAACAAAGTTAAAATGTGAAACGTAATCAATATTTGAGAGTACGCCATATCGCATCCTTATATGTTTGATAGATCCAGTGTCTAAAATCGTCGGCGTCCCCATGGGACATTATTTCCTCCGCCATTATTTCCACGTTGATTGCCGCCTTGGTTCATATTGTTAACCCCAAATTCAAAAGCGAAGGAGTCCTATTCGAGCAAGGAAATACAATTGTTCAATTGAGTGTTATTGAGCATTAGCCATGAGGAACCCAATTCAAAAAGAGGGGAATTATGTTATATTTGTGTCTGTGGCCCCACCACACCCAATCCCAGTATTAAATAACTAACCGCATATTCCCAAAAAGATTATATCGACCAAATCTCGATTTCCAACTTCTGATTCGTATGCACAATGAATTGACTTCGTTTAGAAGCACCTAAAGCACAATTAACCAATGGTTTTTGTGATTAAATCACTTGTGACTATCACACAACGCAAAATAAAATACATATAAAAATACAAACGCCTCCCATTCAAACCTTAATGCATCCCAGATTTTATATAGTTTATGACCTGCAGAAATAAGCAGAATGGCTGATGATATTGTTTAAATTTGCACCTTCGAGCAGATGGAACTAAACGAAGATCTCTCCATTGGACGAAGGAAACTATGGTAACTGCTGCCATACGAAACACTCCAACGATTTCAACAGATAGTTACTTACTAGAAGATAACACAAATATGATCGGAGGTTTAATGTTTAAAGAGGCCCATTTCTAGTTCAAATTGAGAAGTACTGCCACACTCCACAAAACCCATTTCAATGCTTCCCGCCTTTAAGAATAGGGATGGTAAGTTATTAAAGGAGGTAAGGAATATTATTAAATTATTAAAGATAACGGAATACCGACATCTTTTGACTTTGCAATAACACCAATTGCGATGTTAGCCATTTAAAATAATCCTATTGGACCGACCCATTTGGATGAACCGGATATAGTTGAAAAGAGAAGAGAGAGAGGTATGCAAATTCCAACTTTGAAGTATGATTTACAGAAATAAATGCAAATGAATTTTAACGCTTAACCTTAGCGTATTTAAAGAATAATCCTCCTGTATAACATTGATTACAGTTGCTTGCCGCCCTTTTTATTATTTTTGTTAGAATCACTTCATTCTCCCCAAAAAACTTGTATCTTTTCGAGATATATACCTGATCTGGAGAATCGCCAGAGAAGTACAATCAAAATTTATATGAAGTTTCATAAAATATATGTATTGGGTTATAGTTTCTTGAAAAGGGATAGACATTAGCTCTATCACAGATCTGAAGGCTAGTGAATATTTCGTTGGATAGTATTTAGGACTTGGACATACCTGTGTGTTGGGGCCAGAATTGTTTCCAATCATTGTGGAATTGTTGTTGTTATTGCCTATTGTAAAAGCGAAAATCGGTGATATTATAAGGGAATCATCGAAAATTGTATATTTAATCGCATACCTCTAAAAACTTCAAATGGCGAATTGCTGTTACCGCCGAAGTTGTCAAAACTGGAGTTGTTGCCGCCGCCTCCAAATCCCTCATGCTGATCCAGCAACGAATTGAGCTGCTGCGCCTTCATCAACAGTGTTTCCTCCTGCCGATTCATGTGGCTCTGCATCTCGGTCTGATGGCGTCTCATGGTATCCTCCTCGCGCTTGCGCATCTCCTCGGCCTGCTTCTCACGCATCTCCCACTCCAATTTCTTACGCTCGTTGTCCACCTCGCGTTTTCGCAGCTCTGGAAGGCAAGCGTACGTTTTTAATAGAGCAGAAATTAATTTTAGATCGCCCCAAGATTTCTTTTAGTTGACAATAGTCATAGATCTCTTTCAAGAAGAAAATTATCCCATAATACTGTGAACAGCAATGCACTGTCTTTTAATTAAAGTGTAAGATGTTGAAAATTTTCTGAATTAATAAAAAAAAATTCCAGAACAGTGTTTTTCGTTTCTTTAACGACGAACCACCGACCAAAAGGATCTGATCCCAACGGGAAAGATAAGTCCAGAAATTCCTTTCTCAAAAATCATTGTCATACAACCTTAAGGAACAAAGTAGAGTAGAGTAGTATAACTGCTAATATCTGTTAAGATGAGAGAAAATCCAATCATTCATGTACCTTACCATATTATTGCAAATGGAATACTTTGTGAATGCATAGGAAAGCATTTGTTTTTAGAGATATTCTCTTTGTTTGAGGGAAACGCAAAGCGCGCTAAGCCCATTAAATTTGTATAAAGGAGCAATTTGAATATGTTGCCTCAACCAGTTTAACATTTTTATAAGCAAATTGTTGAAATGGCATTGGCTTTTGGAAAATCCGATTAAATCGTGACATATACTGACCTTGACGCAACAGTTCAGTTTCTTGCTCATAGCGAGCGTACTCCATCTGAGCATCCAACTTGTCCTCCTCCATTTTCAGCTCGCGTTTGAGTGCGTCCTGCTTGGTTTTGAACAAATTGTGCAGCTGCTTCCAGCGCGAACCGTACTCGTGCTCAAACGAATTGGGATCGGCGAAGCGCGGACCAATGCTCCGCTCCTGGTTGAAGTCGGGCATCTTTTTGTTGAACGCCTTCTCCGGCAGTCCGTCGGTGTCGTCGTTCACCTCCATCGGGTCCACCAGACACGGCCGAAGGGAAGCAGTCAGGAAAAAGCATTTCTCATTGCACAATCGCAGGCAGGCGCTGGCGGATGACTTCTTGGCAAACTCGACTATTCCCTCGCCCGTATGCTTGCCACGATCGTCGACAGTGATGCTGGCTCTCTCGATGGGACCAAAGATTTCGAAGGACTTGTACAGCAGCTCGTTGGAAACAAACGGTGTGAGATTGCTCACCCGCAAAATGGTGGCATTGGGTGCGAATCGTACCCGCAATTGGCGACCCTTTCGCATCGATCCGTCCAGGGCGCGTTTGGCCTTCTCGGCATTGGGATGGTAGTCCACCTTTAGGAATGTAAAGTTCTTATCCAGGTTCGAGAAGATCTCGCTGATCTCGCCGTATGGCTTGAACATCTCGCGCAGCTCATCGTCGGTGATGTCGTTGGTCAGGTTGCCCACATAGAGACGATTTCGTCCAGAGAACTTGGTCTCCGTGGGCACTTCCACCGGTTCCAGTTCAAAGGTGGGTCCAGAAATGCTGCGCAATCGCTGGGTAATGAAGAAGTCCTCACCGCCGCGCGGACCACCACCTCCATTGCCACCACCACCCATATTGGTGCTGTTCATCATACCACCTGGGCCTCCACCAGGGCGTGGACCACCTCGGTTTCTGTTGTCACGCTGCTGGTTCTGTGGACCTCCGGGGAAACCGCCACCCTGATTGTTACCAGCATTGCGACCTCTAAATCCTTGACCATTTCCTTGACCTCCTTGATTGCCAGGCCCTCCTTGATTTCCTTGACCATGGACTTGATTTTGGTTTTGCCCCTGCCGTTGATTTTGGCCCTTGTTGGCGTTCTGATTCGCTTGATTTTGGCCAGCAGCTGCAGTTGCCGGTTCATTGTTCTTAGCAGGTGCATTAGCACCGTCCGCCTTTGATGTATCGTTATTGGTCTTTTGCTATATTTGTGTTACACAGTTGAATGAGTACAAAATGAGATTGGTATGTGAGCCACATCTGGAGTGCCGTCAATGCAATCCAGATAAAGCCGTGCCAGTTACACAGTTTGGATACAAACTGACATAACATCGATTGAATTGACGGCCCACTAAAACAGAGGTATTTACTTTCCCCCCATATAAATGCGGTCTCTAACTAGCTTATAATAAATTGATAATCGGAAGTAACAAATCCGTGAAATTAAGTTCGACTTTTTTTCGAAAGAAAATCGTAATAAATTTTTAAGCAGAAAAGAAGAATTTTTAATCGTTCAGACCGATTAAGTACTCGGGACAAATACTCAATATTAGTTGTCTGTCTTTGATAGATTCATTTAGCAAAGTACTATTACTAGAACTCGAATTGTATGAGTAGAGGTTCATTCTTGCCAATTTATTAAACAAGTTAAGTTATTTTCCTTTTTCCGCACTTTCACTATACAATGGTTGTACTAACCATATAATATACACATTTTTTGTGTTGAAAGTGAAAATGATACAGCATTGATATATGAGAACCTTATAAGCCCTAGCAGCAACAGGATAGAAGTCAGAATCTGGTTTCTATTTCTCAACACATCTAGAGTTTATAGATACATGTACACAATTGAGAATCTCTTTTTGACTGCTATGAAAGCTATCTAGCACCAATTATCCGATTAATTTTGTACTATAAGTGCCAGGGTAAACAAGTTATAGACTGAGCTAAGCAATTTAGTATTTGTAGTTCAATAAGCACGCAATACTATGGATCCCAGCAAAGTACACTATACGAGGAGAAATCAGTCCGATTCATAATGCTATAGCCGTCGTATATTCGTCGTCAATGTAATCAACTGTTCAAATAAGCAAACCATTAAATTGCTCCACTGAGCCCTGCAATTTACCACAACATGTAGGGAGTGCCTACTCCCTATAAAAACGTAATGTTTTCCCTCCCGAAAACCTATTTGCCCTTCTATGTGTACCGGTTTCTGAATATATATTACACGAAATTCTTGGATAACTAAAAAATACTTGGGAATTGTTAGTGAAAGTTCAATACAAATACATGTGAACTGTTTGAAATGAATGTTTTTATCCGTCATTTTTAAATGGGAAATTAATGAGGACTTATGGAGTACAAAGTGGGTACAAATACATGTTGGCCAAATAAAAATTGTCTATTTCTTTTAGAAAAGTCCGAATATTTACTCGTACACACATGTATATGTACTTATGTATATATATGCACCTGCACATTTGGCTACAACTGTTAATTTTGTATGTATTCGATACGTATATACACACGTATGCTAGCTAAATATTTGGGCATTTGTACATAAATAAATTTGCAACACTTATTAGTAACGGCAAATATATGCATGTATATGTTTGTTTATGTGGGCCGAAAACCCGAAAAAAAAGAGAAGAATACCTAGTATCTCTATACAATTAAGTGCCCGCGATAATCTAATCAAATATATTTATCGAATTTAGATAACTCACATTTGCATTGTTAGTGCCTGGAAAAGTCCGGTTTTGATTCCCAGCCCGATTGTTGTTATTGTTGTTATTGCGATTGCGGTTTCCAGCGAACCCACCCTTGTTGTTTCCAAAGTTCTTATTTTGATTGGGGCCACCAACTGCACCACCACCACCACCATTTTGATTCTGGCTCTGGTTTTGATGCTGGGGATTTGGACCACTGAATCGTGACTTCTTTTCAGCCGGGCATCCATCTACGGAATCATTTTGTTTTTGAGCATTATGCTTGCCAAGATTTTTGTTGGCTTGCTGATTTCCCCGCTGCTGGCGCTGTGGCAACGGTTGTGTGGCGTTATTATCCTGTTTCCCAACACTCTCCATTTTATAAATATTATATTTTTATTAAAAATAATTTGCTACACTGTTTGACAACCGTCCTCAAACGGAAAAAACCGAATGTAATGGAACAAAGCACTTGAAACGATTAGACGATACAGCATAGGTGGTGGCACAATGCCGATTTTGGTCTGTGTGGAATGAAACAAATGTGATATCGATAAATAAATAATAAAAACAAAGACGAAATCCGAAATACATTTATAAAATGAGTATCCACAAAAAAGCTTGTATTTGAAATGGGTTCAAAAAAATAGTTTTAGTCATAGGAGCTGATGGTCAGTGTGCAACTAATAAAAAATTGTTATCGATATTGAAGTTATGACAAAAACGTGAATTTTATAACATATTTTCGTTATTAGTTTAATTACATTATTAATTTAATTAAATTTTTGTTGTGTTTATTATTAATGTTTATTTAAACATACCAAAGTGATTTGTGAACGATTTTAATCAATAAAATGCACATCTATTTTTAAAACAAGCTAATGCTGTTTATGATGTTTATATTTAAATATATTTTATTTATGGTTAGGATTATAAAGTTGTAATTTTATACACTGTCACGTTAGTTTTCTGTTGTTTTTGCAGCAGGAAAGCCTTTTCATAATGTGAAACATCTTTGATTTGAATACAATCTGAAAGTAAATGGAAAAGTCATAATATAAATATCCTTTTATGCATCCACATTCCTCATACAATTACCTATATCATTACACCCTCTTAATATCCGTTTTATATAGACTTCAATTGGGAGATACATAAGTTTTCTTCGCAAAAAATCAAATATACTAAGGGTAGCAAATGTGAGCGCCTTCAGCTATAGAGAATTGTTTTATAATCAAACTCAACAATTTTATATTAAACTTACAGCAGCAAAAACTATATAATAGACAAGGGTAGTCGGAAACAAAAACAGAATGGCCGAGAAGAATATTGTTGCTAGATACAATTGCCGATTCATATAGTTGTGGGACTCTGTGCGACCTGAAAAGTATAACAATTGGTTAAACTGAACGTCGTGGTTATATCAAAAAATAACTAAATCATGCCTTTTAAAATATTGTAACGGTTGCCTCTAACCACTTGCCACAGAACAGAAAGACCTCTTCTTTCCACATTGTAGAGGCTATGAAAATAAGAATGGTTTAATATATGTATATGTACATATGTATGTTACAGAAGCTTACACTTTGGTATAAATATAGAAGCAATGTGAATGTAACCCAATAATGGATATTAAATCCACTAATAATGCTATCTGAAATGTAAAACCCAAGCACCCAATCACTCCAATGACAAAGAAAACTTGTCGCACTAATGGTTCGGTGAAATCTGTAGTAAAAGAACAACGTTAGCCATCTCATCCTGAATTTAAGCAGACGGAAGGCTTACCCAAAAATGTTGACCACAGCTCAATATGATATTTAAAGCAGTCGAGAAAGAAATTATTTAAATGTACATTTAGCTTGAGGCCAATGGGGCTGCCCTCTAATACTTTCAACAGCCGGTATAATTCGTCAATGACATACTGAAATAAATAAGCACATAAATGTCATATCAAATCAAATTTGGATGGCGGACTTACATGAGATATTTGTATTAGAAAATCACCTGGCTGTGTGGCAAGTGAAAATAGTATTAGCATCAATATAATTCCCATTATTCTATCAAGTGCTATATTAGCCGGTCGAGATCTGCTTGATAGAAAACTAGTAATAGTAATATGAAATGGTACCATTCGATTTAGCTCAATTACCTTTTATCACATGCTATTTGCCATTCCTTGAAATGCTTATAAATAGTTGTATGAACCATAATACTGTTGACAATTACATTTTCCGCAACATATTCGAATATCTTAATTGGAAAATCGGCAATGAGTGTGAACCCATATTGTATACCCCTTTTGGCATTATTCTTTGGATTGTTTTGGGTCTCGACAGTGGGTTGATTCAGTCTAGAGAGCTCCAGAAAGTCGCAATCAATGCTATCATTATCATTGTATACTAAGGATCGGCTATGCACAGATTCCCCAGCTACGATAAGATTTCGTACCATTTGTTTATCGTACAGGATTACTTTAATGTGCTTCAGATATTCGGGGGTAATGCCGAGGTAAACCAGGGTTATATTTGCCTGACTGCTGTTGTATGTGAAGCACAGGCGCATATTGAACTTAAGATATTGGTTCTGATCTGCATTGAAATCCTCGTTGAGAATAGAGCCCAGGAAACGCATATTGCCCGATTCATGATTTATGGCCTTATCACTGAACTCCAAATCTGATGCTTCCAGAACGTAATACGATACGACATTATCTTCATTTATCTGCACTTGACCGTACAAATTGGTGGGCTTCTTGAGGTAATAATGGTTGAACGGTAGATATATCTTAATGCTCATAATATTATCGATTAAATGACCAAAACACCGGTGTTTTCTCTCAATTAAACCAAAACAAATGCAGGATGCTTGAGAAGGTGGTGCACAATTCAGTGTGACGTCAGTTTCTTTTTTTATTGAGCGAATAGCTGGCATAGAATAGTTACAGATTTTTTTATGTTATCGTTTAAACGTCTTTTCTAGTGTATACCATTATGTATAACAATTTATAAAAATAATTTGAGTCTTAGGTCTCAGTAATCCATTTTAATCCGATGTTTTCACACCTTACAATATAAGGTCATGTCGATAAATCGTTCTGCGATACTTCCCAAAATGCCACAGTTCGATTAACTGCAAGCACTCTGCCATCGGTCCATTCCATTATTCTTCAGTTTTCACGTGTTCTGTTTTAAGTCGTTTCACTCGAGTTAATATACGCAATAAAGGGGTAGATTTTTCATCGGCATTTTATAATATAAAAATTGTTTTCGTTAAAAGAGATATATATTTGATTCGGCAACAGCAATGGGCTATGATGGTGAGTTCAATAAAAAGTGCAAGTAAATGGTCGCGCTGAATTTGATGCCCAAGTGTGCATAAATAGATGTATATGCATACATACATACAACTATAAATTTATGCAAAGGGAAAGATGTGCAACTGAATTTGCCTATCGCGGCAAAAAAGCCTGGGCCTTGTTTCTTTATTTAATATGTATAAAATATCCGTTGGATTAGGTATTTATTCTAGACCGGTTGTTTTTTTTCTACTCCGGCGGTTCTCTCATTCATACATACATACAAATGTAAAAAGTTGACTTTTGTGTCTATTTTTAACGAAATACAGTGCATTTTAGGATTAGAATGAATTTCAATCATAAATATTTGTATAAAAACAATAAAGTGAAGTTCTTATGGCCATTACATGCTTTTAAGCACAGAAAAAACACCGAAATGTGTCCATGCATAAGTCTCATATTGTATGTATGCGCGTGGTATGTATGTGTGTCAGTGTGTATGCAGCAGTGTGTATGTTAACACATTTGTGTGCACTTCTGGGGACACATTTGCGAAAATCGCGATTGAAGTATCAATTTCATTAATGCATTGCATGTCATTTTCGCAGACCGTGAACGTGATCGCGAAAGACGCCGCCATCGTTCCCGCTCCCGTGATCGCCATCGCGATCGCTCCAGGGATCGTCGCCATCACCGGAACTCGAGGCGCAAGCCCTCGCTTTATTGGGATGTGCCGCCACCGGGATTCGAGCACATCACCCCAATGCAGTACAAAGCCATGCAGGCGTCCGGACAGATCCCGGCCAGCGTTGTGCCCGATACGCCACAGACGGCGGTGCCCGTGGTTGGATCGACAATCACCCGACAGGCGCGTCGCCTGTATGTCGGCAACATTCCGTTTGGCGTCACTGAGGAGGAAATGATGGAGTTCTTCAACCAACAGATGCATTTAGTTGGCCTCGCCCAGGCGGCCGGCAGTCCCGTCTTGGCCTGCCAGATCAACTTGGACAAAAACTTTGCTTTCCTCGAATTCCGTTCGATTGATGAAACCACCCAGGCAATGGCATTCGATGGCATCAATTTGAAGGGACAGAGCTTAAAAATTAGGCGTCCGCATGATTACCAGCCCATGCCGGGTATTACAGATACGCCGGCAATAAAGCCCGCTGTTGGTAAGTAACCAAGAACCCAGTTTTTAACGTCGTTGGTACAAGGTCTAATCAAATCCATTCCACAACAGTTTCCAGTGGTGTTATTTCGACAGTGGTTCCGGACTCGCCTCACAAAATCTTCATTGGCGGTCTACCGAACTATCTAAACGACGATCAGGTTGGTTCAACTTTTCAGGTTTCCTATTTGTATTCTTTGTAATCATTTTTATATTCTCTTGTAGGTTAAGGAACTGCTTTTGTCGTTTGGCAAGCTACGAGCCTTTAACCTTGTTAAGGATGCTGCTACTGGGTTGAGCAAAGGCTATGCTTTTTGTGAATATGTGGATCTTAGCATTACAGATCAGGTACGAAGCTACTTCAAATTGCAAACAAGTACCATATTAACTCTTTCTCCCTTTTAATTCCAAATACAATTTTCAGTCCATTGCTGGCCTGAACGGAATGCAGCTGGGTGACAAGAAACTGATTGTCCAACGTGCCAGTGTCGGCGCCAAGAATGCCCAGAACGCCGCCAACACCACGCAGTCCGTAATGCTACAAGTGCCGGGCCTGTCAAATGTGGTCACCTCTGGACCACCGACCGAGGTTCTCTGCTTGCTCAACATGGTCACGCCCGACGAACTGCGGGACGAGGAGGAGTACGAGGATATCTTGGAGGATATCAAGGAGGAGTGCACGAAGTACGGAGTTGTGCGGAGCGTAGAAATCCCACGTCCCATCGAGGGCGTAGAAGTTCCGGGGTGCGGCAAGGTCTTTGTCGAATTTAACTCGGTTCTCGACTGTCAGAAGGCGCAGCAAGCACTTACTGGACGCAAATTCAGCGACCGTGTTGTGGTCACATCATATTTCGATCCTGACAAATATCATCGACGCGAATTCTAAATACAAGTAAATCATATTTCTCACATTCACCGATTGTCCAATAAATATCGCAATAAAAGTAACAATTTACGATTCGACTACGAAAATAGCATGAAATAGAAAGGGATAGTCGATTATATCGATGTGAGCAGACAGAAAAACTCATAATGCTTGTTCAGGGGTGGAACTGTACGCGAGTTTTTAGGGAAATAAAAACTTCATTCAATCCTACAAAATAACAGACAACAAATAGTTTGTATATATAGACAGCTAACGCCGGTAGACATTTATTTGGCATTAAATAATTATAAATGTATATGTGTTGTGTGTTTACTGAATATAAGACAATTATAAACGAGTTGAAAATATGTATTAGACGTACAAATCACTTAAAAACGGAACGTACACATTAAATACATTTCGGGTACATATACTAAGTATGATTTGCTAATGCTCCAAAGCGATCTATTGTGCGAATGAAAACTGCAGAATGTTAGTTAAATAATTAAATGCAAATGCATGACAAATGATTTATGTAGATACGTATCCATCATTTCAGTGGGCATTCTAATGGAATGCAATTAGTTTCAGATTCAAAATCCATTGATACGCATAGAGAACTCATTTTCAACTTCTTACATCGACTAGTGCATTTTATGGATATTTAATTTTTAAATTACATAATACGCCTAGTGAACTTAGTCTTTAAATATTTAGATTTCGCAGTTTAGTAGAGAGAAAAGGTAAGTTGCATTTCACGATATGTTTTAGAGCTTTGACTTTATAAAAATAGATATCTTTGAGTTAAATTACTTTTATCAATTATTTAGCAACAGGCATGATTCAATAATCAACGTTTAAACATTTCTTTAACTGACTCACACATAGCCAACGATTTAAAACTAATTATTGTTCAAAATTTCGATAATTTATAATTTTAAGGCACTTTCAAATAAATGTAATTGAATCACACCTTAAACTAATTACATTTTGTTGTCATATTGTTTTCAAACTTTTAGTTTTTTTTATGTTAATTAGCTACAACATTCTTGGCTAAACAACATAGACACAAATTCGTGGGATATCGTAATAGTTAAAACAACTGGAAGACTTATGTAATCAAAGAGGTTCAAGTTTTGTTAGACCAGTTCCTTTGGCGGAAATGGTTGCTTTTATAAATTGTATTATTATTTTAAGCTTTAAAATATGAAATAAAAAAGGTAAATGCCTAATGATTGAAATGCTGTTTGAGTATTTGTGCTAAGAAAAGGTTAGGTTAAAGGTTGTTCCGGATAACAATTGGAAAGGGTGGTCACAAATGATAGCTAATCAATATGCTTATGTGCTCACAAGTGGTCTATTTTCTTCAATTAAAAGTCTTTAAGAAGAATGTAATATAATACTTATAAAAAGCTGATCAGCTGTAAAGGGACTAAAAATGTTCTGAAACTGAATATCAAATTGATTCCATTTGAGCTGTTTGGGGATTGTTTCTTATTTTTGAATCAGCTTGATGTAAAACTTTTGATAGTAAAACCAAATGGAAACAGTTCCTTAAATCGAAATGAAATCATTCTGGTTTGCTTATTATTAAATGAGGTGACGGATAGTTAAGACTTATCCGTAATATTTTGTTCTCCTGAACAAAACATTTAGAGAACAACAGACTTCTACGCTTATTGTTGTGAAAAGTATAGAATATACGCAGGGATTACAAAATCTTGATTTCAGTTCCAGGAGTTTCGAATTTATGGTTCCAATTACTATTTGAATACTCACTGCATAGTATGAACTACCATAACTGCTGATGTGTATAGAACATAATCTAAATCCAAATCATACGTTTCAGAGCTTAAGTTTTTAGATGGTTATGAGTGGGAGAATCAGGTCATAGTTTGATGAAATGGTCTAATGTACAGTGTTTGATAAATTGCTTCTGTGAAAAAGCTTTGCTTTCCTTCAAGGCACATTGATTTCACAATGTACATATAGATTTGGAATCATCGTTTGCACTCTAAACATATTAATGGTCCAGCTAACTTAACAATCCTCCTACGGGGAAGTGGCATTTGCAATCTTGATGTTGATCAGCAGGGACGATAGTTCCAGCTCTTCGCTGAACTTATTTCGCAGGATGACGCTGCGATAGCCCTGGCGAATGCAGGTCAGCGGATAGCACGCCTGGGCGATGAAGTGCGTCTCGGCGAACATATCCTCGTCCTGCACTTCGAAGCGAAGAATCGCGAACTGTGGATTGCGCACGTTAAACTCGCACGATTCATTCCACACCGGATTGAAACCATTCTCATTGACTTTGGTGCGGTACTTAACGCCTGAATCATAGCTAGCGCCGACTATTTCGACCACGATCTGCGGATTGTTCGATTTGCCGCCCCGAAATAGATGACGTGCGGCTATCAGCCGTACGCTAACTTTCACTTCGCTTAGGCCATCGCACAGCGGATTGTTCGGATTGAAGCTATCAGACTTCATGAACGACGGCTTTAAGATATAGCCACATTGTCCATTGTTTCGGAACTTGGCCTGATTAAGCTGCATGGCCTTATCGCCAGTCTGATAGTTCAGTGCGATCATCTGTGACCCTATATTCCAGAATGGCATGGGGTTGAAGTTCGACGAGTCCAAGCGTTGACCCTTCGGGTACACTCTGCTGATCTGATTGCGATGGTAGGAGAGAAACAGTTGTGTGTTCTGCTGGAAGAACTGCTTTTCCGCCTTGGTTTCTGGAAAACTCGACATTTCCTGAAATATCCACGAGTGTTCGCGGAACGGCACACTGCGGAAGTAGATAATCAGGTCGGACATCTCCTTGGCCACCCGGGCAGTGCGCTCCTTTTTCCGTCTCTCCGATGCCACCTGACTGGCAATGAGCGCTGCCTCCTGGATTGCCTTTATCCACTCGTACGCCGTCTCCTGGTTGTCGAAGCCAATCACAAACGGATTCTGCATCGTTGGCGTTTGTATCTGCAGCTTGAAGATAATACCCGGATCGTTGGACTCGAAGAGCGAGGCAACAGCTCCGAAAATCTCAATGGAATCGGTGCGTCCATCCGTACCTTCTTCGTTCAACGAGTTATAATCCTCCGTGGTAGAATCGATAACCTAGATGTTGGAATTTTCAAAATATAATATAAATCAAATGAAGATATGCATCTTACCTTAACGTAGTTTGCCGGCAGATGCTTCTTTATCATGCCCCCGTAATCCCCAATCCACCACATTGAGTTGTCCCTCTGGACATTCGTTATGATGGCATGCTTGGGAAACGAGAGTTCATCTGGCTTGTTCGCCTTGTAGCTGTAGAGGGCCTTGCAGGTGACGTGCTCCTCCAGGTTGGAGCCCATATAGTTGGAGGCACCGTTGTCGTCGTGGCTGCCACTGTGATCGCCCTGGGCGGCCTCCGCTAGCGCCTGACGCAGCAGCTCCTGAGAAACCGGATGGCTGAGCTTAACATTGCGATAGAGTGGGTTTCGGGTATAGTAGTTGATCAGCGAGACCAGAGACTCAAAATTCATCGTATCGATGCCGTACAAACGTCCCTCCTGCATAATGCGGCAGTGCTTGATCTTCCGATTGATTGTAAAGGATATGACGAAAGCGTTAATGCTCTGCACCGATGGCCGCACCAGAAACGAACCAATTTCCAGCCTGTATAGGCCCTGTTCGGCCTGCTCCTTGGTGGTGTTCGGGTGGAACCACTCCTGATCCTCGTGCTTTTTCGGCTGCGGAACAGGCTCCTTTAGTATAATCGAAAACTCAGAGCTACGTAGCATATTCTTGCGGTAGTAAACGATCAGTGAGTATAGCGAATCGAACACAAAATTCTCCACTAGATAGTACTTGATTGATCCATTTTCATGCTTTAGCTTAATGCGGCAGTGATTCGGGCGATTTCGTCGCCAAAACGAGAGACTATAGTCACCCACAAACGTTGCCGATTCCCGAACTAGAAATGTTCCATCGCCAAAATGTTTATACTTCTTTAGTAGATCATCCGCCTCCTTCCTGCCACCTAAAACGTAAATAGTTAGCGACAGTAAAGGATTAAGTATTCAAACAATACACGCACCTTCGAGTTTTCCATGGAACCAGTTCTCCCCAAAGTGCAGCTCATCGTTGGCCGAGGTATCCTTCTGCTTTTGCTGCATGTTGCTGTTCAGGGAACACGAAGAAGAAAGCCCAAAGTCATCATCCTCCGAGTTTCCGTTGCGTGACTCGTTGATTTCAGAGGAGTAGATCAGCTCCTGATGGGTCAGAACGAACTGGTACAGATTCCAGGACTTATCGACCGGATCCTTGAAGTAGAGCAATCCCTCCTTGAACACCTTGCGCACATTCTCGCCATCGTTCTCCCCATGTGCTCCGCCGCCCGCTCCTCCCAACGAGGATCTATGGCCCAGTGAACCCGTGCCAGAAATCCCATTGGTGATGTCGTCGAACTGCGGCAACTTCTTGTGCTTCAGGATTATCTTGCGACGCAACTGGTATGGCGAGGGCAAGTGCTGCTCGTTCCGATCACAAGGTTGCGTAAGCAGCATATCGCCGAAAACCTGTATTGTGGTAAAAAGGGTATAAGAGAATGGATTTTCATTCGATTAATACTCTAAGTATCCACAAATATATATACATTAAAGCCTCGACAACAGATTTCTTTTTAAAACTGATGATTAAGTAATGATTAATTGGTCAAATAACAATTATCATCGTCTTGTACTCTAAGGAACTGGAAAGATACAAACGATATCGACATACATATTCAAAACTATCCAAATCTACAAAACCTATTGCAATTATGTATTGAGTTAGGCAATGAAAAGCATTCACATTCACTCAATAATACAGCGAATGAATCAAATTGCAATCAGGCAGAGCTCCTGTTTGTATGGAATATATAAATAGTTGTTATTAATAGATTCGATTAGGTCAACTAACCTCGATCAAGGCCTGCGCCATATTCCGCTGCTGCTCCAGGGAGCAGTTCTGCTCTATGGACAGAATCACCGGATACTCGGAGCTGGTGAAGGCGTGGTCCTTGATCGTCTTTATGACGTCCATGAACTTGATCTTGGAGGTGATGGTGTGGCCGTGAAATATATAGGGCAGGTTGTCGGGCCCGTTCCAGCAGTCTAGCTCGATGCAGCGGCAACCCATGCGAAGGGCGCGGGCGTAGGCCTCGCAGGAGGATTCGCTAGAGAACTGATCCCCCGTCAGGTAGGTATTGTGCGACGATGCGATCCAGTAGGAGGACAACGGCAAGTTCATGTCCATGAACACTTGGTCGTATTTGCTGTTCCACAGGTCGTTCTGCTTGGAGAACAGAAAGTCTACGAACTCTGAGAAGGTGAGATACGGCTCTTGGACGTCCCGTTCCACGTCCTGAACAAAGTCCCGAATGAAGGAGGCAATGGCTGCGTTACTGATCTCACTGGCGCTCACATCGCGCTGCTCCGTCTCCAGGAACTGCTTCAATTCATTCGGCCGTACCACCTGTTGGTCCTCCGAATAGGGAAAGTTGGCCACTCCCGATCCCGACAAGACGCCGGCAAATCCGTTAGGCAGCAGCAACTTCTGATAGAACCGCGAGAAATCGTCAAACTTGAGATCGTGCTTGCGCCGCACATCCTCGGTAAAGTGCTCCATGAACTTGCCGGTGGTCATCTTACAGCTAACTCCCGCCAAAAAGAGCTTAAAGTCCTTGATTGTCACCTGGGCTGGCGACTGTTCCGTGGCCTTGGCGGAATGCGTGTTAACATTCTCGATTTGGTAGTACTCGCGACGCAGCCAGCGGTCAATTTGCAAGGGATAGGGTGCTCCCAGAGTGTCCTTAACCATGTAACGCAATCCCCGCACCCAATTATCGGCCTCGATCTCCGACAGAGCCACCACCGAGAAGCTCTTCAGCTTGAAATGATTGCCATGCAGAATGACAAAGCATTTGCTGGACTCGAAGCGCTGGCAATCGTCGGCAAACAGGCGGAACTCCTTGGAGTGCTTGCCCACCCGTATCTCGCGAATCTCCCGCAGTTGTATGGCGCCCTCGTAGTCGGTGCGTGGCGTTTGGCTGGCCACCGTAGCCCAGAGCAGCTGTCGGGTTTCTCGGATGAGCATCAGGTGGCGGCGATCTGGACGACGCTGTTTTCCATACAACTTGGTAACGATGGTGCCGCGCTCCAGCATCCCAATGGTCTGTTCCATCTCGCCCAGCAGCGGGGCACTCATCGCACTAAAGCAGCTCATCCTGTCCCGTCCGAACGCCTTGATTCCAATCGAATCCAGTACTTTCCCGCTGGCTGCCACAGGTTGTTCCACACGCCACGCCAACCGATCGCCAGACTAAATGCAATGCATGCAAACTATGGGTTCCAGCGCGTGGAACTATTCGCAGATCAACTGCTCCCTCTCTTCCAACTGGTTGATGCACAAATCACGGCCACTGGACTCAGGAACCCGAGTTTAACAATGCAATACTTAAAATGTACCCAAAAAATACCACAGAAGCAGATAAGATAAGCCAGCTGTTAAGGAAACTGCCAGTGTTGCCAGGCTGTAATGTGGGTACAGAATATACTAAATTTGCGCAAATGGACTATTTACACTGCGGTGTAATTCGGATTGTCAAAAAATCATTGGCAAACAAAAATTGTAATTTGAAAAAATGTTCTAAAAATTTCTAATTCTAAAAATAAAAACATAAGTATATTTATATACTTGAATATCTAAAATCTTATAGTGTGACCAGTTATCTATTGACTTAAAGTAGGGATCAGAAATTCAAATCCGAAATGAATAGTAGTATTCCTGGTTTTGAATATAGCTAAATTAATCATACTAACCAGATTGAAGAAGCTAAATACATTTATAACTTACCTTGAATAGATAGGAAAATAATTATTTACCTGTAAAATTTCTAACTTCTCGAAACCAAACAAATTTAAGTTTTCTTGTGATTGTATTTTAAATATATTTACAAATGAATAAGCTTAGCCAATTGAATGATTGTTCTCGGCTTTCCTACGGCTAATCCAGACACCGGCTTTATAAGGATAAATTGCTTTACGTTGCTCCATATCGCATAGATTCTAGTTTTTTCGTCTTCCCAAGATATTTGTGCAATATTCCAGTTTAATTTTCAGTAATAAATTAGGTCTGTTCTTTCAAAAACCCCATATTTTGGGCAAGGAAGATCTACATGGCCCTGGGAAAAACAGTAATTGGTCGAAATCATCTGAACCATTTGACAGTAATATGTACATATATCTGCCCCTGAAACCCATTTTGGCACACAGCAGTTCCACTCGTAGTACATACGCAAAACAACTCATAAGAAATGTTCTCTGATTTGCCTTTACAAGCGTACATCTAGCTAAATTAAATTTATTTGAAACTATTTTTACAGTATTGTGTAAATTCTTAGGAAAAAAAAAACAAATACTTAGTGGCTACTATAGTATTGCTATTGTAATTCACACATTTTAGTTTAGGAACTCGGTCATGGTTCCTACCGAGTGTTGTGTCTATTAAATATAAAAGCTAAAGCTGTTCATTATTGGGATTTTTAACATACAAGTTATTCATCTATTACGTATGTACCAAGCATTAATCAAAAATAAAGATAAACCAAATTGTTTCGAAGAACACATCATCATCATTCCATCACAAAAAAAAGAGAATCTCGTTTCTAAAAGTTTATTTTATAATAGTTTAGTTCTTATAACAAAGCGCACAGGGAACTGGAATTTTCATAGTAATTAATTATGTAGGGTATGGATTACCGTCAAATTTTAGAAAATTAGGAATTAAAGGTTTAACCTAGACACACTTCTATGAATATAATCTCGGTGGCGAGTTATTCTCTATCAAAATCATGCTAAAAAATATATATGTATATTTATATATATAATTACATGCATATACACGCATATCTCGCACTCATAACGTGGCGAGAGCGAAGTTAGGCGTACAGCTAGAGGCGTCCTGGTTTAACTGACCATCGACGGATCCATGGTTATAATTTCAGCTCCTCTCTTATCACGTTATAATCTAACCACTACGCGGCTTATACAGGCGATCTAAAGGAAAACATCCTTCCAACCGTTGTGGCCATGGGTGATTCCTATCCATGCATACCCTACCCCATCTATCAAAGGTCGGAGGAACGTCTCCCTTTACATCTTCTTCTGTTTCTGTTTCTGTTTCTGTCTCTGATTTGCTTCTGTGCCTGGAACAACATTTGGGCGTTTTAAGGCCGACGCAAAAACTTCAAATTTCTACGCAATTTACATTACTTTGCAGTCCCGCTGAAATCTACTTTATTATTAGGGTTGTATGTTGTAATTTGCTCTCGATTCTCGTTAATTTCTACGTAGTCTCATTTAAATAATACTTCAAATAGTATGTACATGGCCAAGTCAACAACAATTGTTGCAATGTCCGATATCATTTTGGTTGTTCCTCCTCTCGAAGCGCCGAACAACCCAACCTTCCGTATCTTACGATCGTGGCTATTATAGTTGATGTGTATATTTACAAATGAGGACAAACCCAATTATCTCCAAGGCTCTTGATTCACGAATCGCAAACTAAACTGGTAAATAAACTAAGTAAATATGTGTTTAATGAAATGAAATTTAAAGGATATATGTGTGAGAGCGGCAAAAATAAATAGATCGAGATATCACCCGCCACTGAGTTAAGTATTTCACATTATCACGTTTCATTGAGTTTGTTTCGTGTGGGAACATATAAACTCGAACGCATTAATTGTAGTTTCATTATGGTGAATCTAACTTTAATAAATGGGAAATATGTACCAATATTTATAAATGTAGTGGTAACCTTCATAGTTGCTGAGAACGAATGACATCATGATGAATTTCTTCAATTTATAAAATAATTCTTCTTATTAATTTAGGAGAAACTTAGCACTGAAGCACAAATAAGGTTTGCAGACAGATGAGTGTCATTTTAATCTAACCATACTTAATCGTATTCATCTTAACATAGAACTTATAAAAGGTTTCTTTGTGATTTATCTTCATAATTCATGGAAATTTGATTACTTATGTTAAAAAAAAAAAATATATATTATTTATATATATGCATTTACATATACATAATAGGTGTTTTTTTTTTTAGAGATTCCACTTCCCGATAACCATCAAATTGTCACAACAAAAATGAAACAAAACAATTTGTGCTTTGGTTTTCCAATCACAGAAATCTTCTGCAGACATTTTGCCCACGGCTGGTATGGAAATCGCTGGAAAAATCCTTAAGTTTCACAGAATCTCACGAGATTTCGTATTGCTTCGAAATACACTAGGAACAATGGTTTCTCTTCGGTTAACTATGAAAAGCTCTTCTGAACGTTCAAGAGATTTCTGTGATAGTTGGATTTTTAGTTGGACATTGGTTCACAAATATTTCTGAAAGAGACTTACACCGCTCATTCGGGGGTGCTACAAATGAAAAAAAAAGGAGAGATTCACAAGAGCTCTATGCACATCCTTGCTGCTTAAAAAAAAAAAAACAAAACAAAAAAAGAACCTTTCCACCATGACTGTTAGCCTGTCTTTAATCAAAACACGATTGATAATAGCTTTGCCAGATGATCCTGAACAAATTGTGACAGTGTTCTGTTGCCGGAAAGCGAAACCTCTAAAAGGGCACACCCTTATATATATAAATATATATTCAACACACATTGGCCAACCTGATAATAGATCAACCAACGTTATCATGTTTGTTCCTCCATCGCGACAACGATCGTGTGTATAAATAGTGAAGAGTATTTACTGCTAAACCTATTGGTTCTCGTCATCATCTCCATCGCCGTCGTCGTCGTCGTGCTGCTCTTCTAGCTGCTGGTGTTGCTGCTGGGCAGCGGCGGCAAGTAACGCGGCTTTCTGTGCCTGCGCCTGCATCGACGCCTGCATCGACGGTGCGGACATGGCTATTTTCCCGCTCGTCTTGTACTCGGTCATCTCCTGTTAAGGGCGAAAATCCGCAAGTTAATCGGGCATATCCAAGTGGTAATGCATATCTAAAACCTACGCGTTCATATCGAGCCTTGTCCCGCTCGGCCATCGACTCGTACTTCTGCTTGACCTCGGGATCCACATCGGACCACTTTCGTCCCAGCTCTTTGGCAATGTCGCCCACTCCGAACTCGGGATTAAGTGCCTTCACCTTATTTCTCTCGTCATTGCAGAACCAGAAGAACGCAGACCTAGGCAAAAAAAAAGGGTAGAATAAAGCATAGTAGTAAATCATTATTGATCTGATTTGCTTCATTATCTTGCAGTCACAATTGTATACATTGTAGGATAATATGATAATTGACTTTGCTACGAACTCACAATGAACGTTTTGGAGCATTGGGGTCCTTGATTTGTTTCCTCTTCTTGCCGCGTCCCACAACCGCTCCCTTGGGCGGCACATAGTTCTGCATTTCCGCCTCGTATCGCTGCTTGTCCTTCTCGGCCATTTCGTGGAAGCGCTTCTTTTCCTTGTCCACCATTGTCTAGACGATTCGGATATATGGCAATCCACTTTAAAACAAGGAGCCCTTAAGGAAATTGGTATTCTCATTACTTACCTTCCACCTCTCGGCACACTTCCGTGAGAATTCGGCGAATATCACCGTCTCATCGGGATGCTTCTTTTTGTGCTCCTCTCTGCAAGTTTGTACAAAGTATGCGTAGGCGGTCATTCGGCCTCTGGGCTTGGCATCGGCCTTGCCTCTGATCATGGGGCTCTGTGGATTGGGGAACGGAAACGGAAACGGAAACGAGGTTAGTTGATGACTGATGTTAGCAAGTCGCATATTGAACTTACCGCCGAATTGATGACATTCTGTTGCTGCTGCTGCTGTTGCATCTGTTGTTGCTGCTGGTGCTGTTGCTGCTGCTGTTGTTGTTGCTGCTGCTGTTGCTGCTGCTGGTGCTGCAGTTGCGCCGCTGTATTGGCATCGACCTGGCCCTGATTAGCGGCCGAATACCACCACTGGGAGCCGGGTACGGCTGCTGCTGCGGCTGCCTGTGCCATATTTAGACGATAATCATAGCCCGTGGTGCCGGCTGCGTTCGATGTGGCCACCACCTGGGCCATCGTCGTTGCCGGATTCGGAAAACTGCTGGCCATTTTGTATGTGAACAGCTGTTGGGTGCCCACGCCGGCTGTGGTATTGGAGCTGTTCTGGTGCGCCTGCTGTTGATTCTGCTGCACCACCACCTGGTGTTGTTGCAACTGTTGCTGTTGTACTTGTTGTTGTTGCTGAGCAGCCAATTGCTGCTGATAGTGTTGAATTGTTTGCTGATCAATAGTTGGTTGATGGTGTTCATTAGCATTATTAGTGCGATGCCAGTCGATTGGGCTACAACAATACACTACAATCATTTGGCTGGACTCTCGATGTCTGGCATCGCACTAACCACTAAGATAGTCCTTAATACTAGCGATAGTGAGAACTGTGCGTTTTTGTTGTGAGTTATGCGTTTTAATGAGCGCCAATAAACGAAGTAGGACCAGAAAAGCGGATATTTCTTAGCTAAATAACTATCAACGTAATCACAAACGAATCATTTAATCTTTCCATCGCTACATTGCGAATATTTTGTTAACATTTTTACAGTTTTTTCCACTGTTAAAACTTAACTTTGATAAACTAAGCTAGATGTCTTTAAATAGCATGTATTTTAAATTGGTACTCATTTAAATTACTAAGTCTGAAGAGTCTTAGTCTTACTTAAAGCAAAAAGCTTAAGTAGCATTTAAATTATATCATCCAAAGATATTAAAAGTATCTGTCGGAATTGGGGCGTTATCCTTTTCATTTACTTTCCATGTAAACAAACATGTAGATACTCGTTATCTACAGATACCGATAAATTGATGTCAATACCAGAATATAATACTAAATCCTGGCCAAAATAAAGTCTCTTATTTTCCATTGAAAGCGTAATTTTAGTGTTAATAATCTATATCGTTTTGTTTACAAGTTAATAGTAATTATCGCACCAGCTGTTAAGCCCATAGATAGAAAGCTTTTACATGAATCGGGCAAGGTAATGGAACTATTGTTAGGGGAAGAAGAAGCAGAGCGAGTAGCACCGGTTCCGTTTTGTGAATCGGATTGGATTGTCTTCATTTTGATTCCGATTCCAGGGCTTATAGTGCAAAACCAGGGCGCCAGAGTTGCAAAACATGAATGAACCCATTATTCTTTTAGCCGAAAATAGCCTCTTTTTGCTTGCCAATTGTGAAAAACGAAAAATACACTTTCCTACCACTGCCAAACAAAAAATAATAATAATTGTATACTAGAGAACCACTTTACGTAGATACATATGTAAGTACAGAGACATACATGTGCGCATAAATATTTGAATAGCCAAGTATTTGCACATGCATACATTTGTATTTTATGCACACATTGATAAAAATATAGCCAATTTCGGATTACGCAAGCTGTGATTTGGGCCGTTTCATATACAGGTTTTCATATGTGTATGTATTTTTATTTTATGTACATCATATTCTCCTTATTTTTTGCATATTGTATGTACATATGCATGCAAACAAACATGCATACATCGCATTAAGGAAGCACATTTAATAAGAAACGAAATGCAATACGGTTTACCGTTTACATCCAAACATTCAGCATTCACGATTCTTGGTATAAATATATTTGTATATTTATACAAACTAATAAGGAAAATGGCGGACTTGGATGCGCACGCAAAATACAATTTTGATTGTACAGCGTCGCTTTTTTGTTTGTATGCATACTAGCACATACATAGGCGTACTCTTAGTGCATTTAGTTAAATGTATATTTACTTAATAACTAAAAACAAAAGCGAGACGCAATGGATGTACATACGTTTGCATGTACATACGTATGTAAGCATGTATGCAGCATATATACATATATATTCACAAAAAGTTTCCACTGCGGCTGAGAAAAGGCAATCAGGTGCCGAAATATCCAAATAAATAATGAACAAATAAGGGTTTGGCTTTTTATTAATTATACATTGTCGTTTGGCGGGAAAATGATTAAAACGCGGCAACCTATACATAAACGCGGCCATGATTGTATGTGTGTTGTGCCATGAGTGTATATAAATGTATGTGTGTGCGTTCGTGTTTTTTTTAATAAAACGCCGTATACCTGCACACAAGCTTACCTGTATTTGATGAAAGTGTTCCATAACTGTGAGATTTCGGATCTAGTCCGAATGCTTCAATTGTAGATTGGCTTTATACTGGGATTCCCGTACTATATCTTTCACTTTTAGTCCTAAATGGTTAAAGCAAATATATTTACTTTTAGCACAAGTACGTATGTATTAATACGCACACCAACGCAAATTGGAGTCGAGTCTTAAGCCAGTTTTCTTTTTCTTAATACTGTTCTACGCAGTTTGTTGTACGTCGTATTGTATTGATTATTGCACGTACATATGTATGTACGCATACGAATGCGAGTGTATGTACGATGCACGTTAGCAGGAAAAAAAGGAACACGGCACAAGCCAAAACTTCGAAATGAAATTCGAAAATTTGAAAAATTCACAATGCACGTTGTTTTTTGTACTTCTTTTTTTTTGTTTGCGTCTAGGCCTTTTTTGTTTGATTTTATTTGTTTTTTGGTTGGCAAAACGCGAAACGCGGGCGGCTTTGCGGATTTGTTTTGTCGTTTGTTTTTAGCTTGTAAAAAATAAACAAACAGCGCTGCATACGCTGACTTTATTGTATCGTATCGTATCGCTTGTGTTTTGTTGGTGTGGTATGGTATATATGCTATACAGTACACAGCACACAGTATGGTATCGTATCAATGCGAATGCGGAAAATACAATATATGAGGTTCGTTCGCGCGCCGCTCGCCTGATTGAAAACACACACAGAGAGTACCAACAACGAATGAACGAATGAACAACGAATTGAATTGCCGTCTCTGCCTTACCTTCTTACTGTGCTTCCAAATCCAAACGGGCGGATAAATGTGTATGCGTTGAGTTGCGTTGGACTGTGTGCGCAATTCTGTGCTTGTGTGCGTGTGTGCGGGAGAGTGAGAGCGCGAAGAGAGCCAACGCGCAGATACATACATATGTACATACACGTGGTGGAGGGAAAAGGCCTTATAAAACTTTTTGGCCTGTTACTTTCGTACGTACATACGAACGCGGGTATGTACATAAACGCTTGCGTGCCAAACATACAAGCTATGGATCGTGTGGAGTGTGGGAAAAATACTGTACTGTATGTATTCATATGTACATTACAGAGTTCTTAGGGCCAAAATTTCTTTTAAACATACTTATCTTATTTTTAACTGCCAGCTACATTCGTTAATGCGACGTATGTACATATGCATGTTCGCCTGGCTGTACGAATTCTACAAAACCGATATGCATCAATGCAAACACATTGATACATAACCAAGCATATACAATTGTGTTCATGCTAATAGCAGTGCTGATGACCGCCACTCTCTAAATTGATTGTTTCATACAAATACGCCATTATAAAACAATGTTTTTTTTTTTTCAATTTATTTTGTGGATTTCGGAATGGATGTTCTGTCAAAAAGCAGTAAATCCAACAGGTTCTTCAAAGCTAATATAATATTTAGTATATACATATAACTGCATTGCTCCTTTTGCGACCCAGAAGACGAAGCAAAGGATTAATTAACGAAAACGAATACGGAAAAATCCGTTTGACGCTTTTGCACTGCTATTTCCACGAACGCAGCTGTATGTATAAACGTGTGGAACACACAAACATATGTACATCGCAGCGACCCGCTACATACACATTTTCATTTTGTGTGTTTGTGTTCCCGTCTGACTGTACTTCCAATTCGAATATCTCTCTCGCTCTCTCTTTTGCTCTCGTGAGTTTTGTTTTACAGAGAGAGGCAATAATGCATATGTGTATGTACGTATGTAATGTATGAGGTCACAAAAACCCAAAAAACTCAATTCACAATTATATTAGCCATTAAAATACTTTACTAATTTAATTTATTCATATTATCCTTAAGTCTTAAATAATTTATTAGCGATTTTAATAAAAGATTTCTTTCTTGTATATTTATTTTAATATTTGTTGATTCCGAAGACAGGGTCCTTTAAAATACCAACTATGATCTGGTTTCCTTGAAATTAAACAATTTCTTTAAATTACTTTATAACCATTTAAAGTAATTTAAAGAAATGGTTTCATTTCAAGGAAACAACGTCTTTCTAAAAAATTAAAGTTTTGTAATTGTTAAGAGAAATTAAATATTATTTGCTGCTTATTTTATTATGTTTTAAAAAAGGTTACACAAAATGGTAAATTTGTAAAAGGGTTGAAGTCATATTGAATGGTAATATAAATAATATATTCATAATAGAAAATATATTCATACAGGGTGCGTTATGAAAGTAATGCGCATTTTCTAAGAAAAATATATTTGTTGATCCAATCAGTACAAATTATTAAAATTCTTCCTCGCTTTAAGAATATGAAGAAGGAAATATCGTTTATAATTTAAAAATAACGTTTTTGAATGTATGCTTGTTTCATTTTCAGAGCGTTTCTTGAGATTTGTCGTGTGGTAAGTTAATCGACGTTAGAAAACTATCGGCTAAATAGTGTGAACGCACGGACATCATATGCGCTGGTGTCATCTCTAATTGAATAATACAATTTGACTTGTCTGATACTATTTTACTAATATTGCGCGGAACTAAAAGCGATATGTCGAACAAAATTCAAGTTTCGCTTCCGGAGGAGGAACTGGATTGGATACAATTGTGCCAGGATCTGGGACCCGTTGCCGAGGTGGAAACGACTAAGGAGAAGCTGCAGCGCAAGATCAAGGAGAATCCGCTGGTTCCGTTGGGTGAGTGTATTTGCCGGGTTATGTAAACAAAACAATGTACATATCTATTTATTGCTTCAATTGTTTATTACTTACGCATGTAGGATGTTTGGCCACCACGGCGGCGCTCACTGCTGGCTTATACAACTTTCGCACTGGCAATCGCAAGATGTCGCAGCTGATGATGCGAACTCGTATCGCCGCTCAGGGATTTACCGTTATGGCCCTAGTCGTCGGTGTCGTCATGACATACACTGATAAAAAATAACCATAACGATTATATTATGGTCCTAAATATATAGGCTGAATTTTCATTCAGTTGTATTCTGTTTTTTTTTTAGTCCCATGTTACAAAAAGCTACCACCTACGGTGCAAACTTATATAAATGTTTAAATATACGTTAATTTGTATATAGACAGTATCTAAAAGATACCTATAGATGATAATTTTATAATGTCTCATTTTGTTGTACTGAAAAGAGGGAAATTAACAATCTTAAGGGGCTACTATTAATGTAATAGTTTTAGCTGTGATGAATCAATAGATTCAAATAAATAATACATATCATCCAAATTATAATGCGTTTTGCGGTGTTTAGTAATTATTTACTTCACTTATTGAGCTTGGTTTACACAAACTCTTTAATGCATTTGATGCTTTTAGAGAAAATGAAAAAGGTTTAGCCAATAAATCTTAAATTCTTCCTAAATCAAACTGAAGGATACAACGTGGAACATTTTTGTTCTAAAACATAAAATTCTTCCTAAAATATACTTACTAAAACTAAATAATGGTTTAATGTTGGAATTGCTTAGTGTTGTTGCATATACAGGGCTATACCTGGGTGTGTCCAATGGCACGGGGGTAAAAATACCCGGACTCAAAGGTATCGCCAAGTTACTGGCTTTTCCAATTCGGCGGGGGAGATGCGCGCGCACCTCTGCTGGAGAGGAGAGCCAAGTATTTGGGATAGTTACTACCACTCAGTTCTGACTGGGATTTCCTTGACACAAGTCAGGGCATTGTGTTGAAAGGTTCGAAAGTGTTTTCAATCTCAAGTAGTGTTAAGTATAGTTAATAGTATATAGAACCTGAAAATGGGTTCCCAAAGGGCTCCTACCTTCTTGGTGTTATCAAAATCCTAAAATCTCGGCTGGAATGTAGGGGCCCAACTAATATTTATAACACCCGTGGGGATGCAAAGGAATTTTCAGCTAATGGCTTTGTTTGTACTTGTGTATTCGACACAAACTTTTTAGTACTTCCATTAAGTAGTACCTACTAGAGAGTCTCAGATGATAGAACTATTTCATTATGGGGTGCGATTAGTCGTTTGCTAGTTAATAGTAGAAAACCTACCCCCAAAAACAGTGTTGTGAGTCCAGGAACACAACACAGATACACATGATTATACGGCGGATTTAGCGGATGGGGTACTGGTACATGGGTATGCGCCATTGATTCGATGGTAATTATGTGTGTGCTCTGGACACATTTTCAGCTTCATGATGAACATGCTCTTTGGAAATTGTGTGGGCAGCTGTGACCAGCTGGCCGGTCCACCGCCGGACTTTATACTATCGATGCCGCCGCCACCGCTGCCATCCTTCCTGATCTCCAAGCCGGCGACGGTGGACATCCTGTTGCCGTCCAATGAGTCGCAGCCGTGCTTCGCTGCCTTCATGTGTGGCCACGGGATGCAGCACAACGAGAGCGGGAATGCGCTGATGGAGCTGGTCAGGAGTGATTCCAGGAGTCTGGAGAGCGTCTGGCTGTTTGTCTCGTCCTGCATCGGGATCTTCGTGTTCGGCTGCTTCCTGGCCCTCATTGTGATGAGGTGCAGAGAGTAAGTCTTGGTGTTGCACAAAGATTTGCTTGTATTCCTACATTACCATTTTGCCAATCCAGCAGTTCCTTCTTCTCGTACCATGACGCCAATATCAAGCAGACGGCCATTAATGCCCTGGGCGAGGCTACCAAGTCCAATGCCTTCACATCCGGCGGAATTCTGTATCCCTGTGCCACGGCCAACAGTCGGGACTTGCTCCAGAGCCAGCTGGTCAACGACAGCCGCCTCCTGTGGGCTACACTAACGCCCCACGGCACCCGGCACTTCATCATCGAGAACTCTCAGGATGGGCACTACGAATCGGTGGACTATCGCGGCAAGTCGCACAGCCAGGTCTTCCGCGGCTACGAGAAGCACTCGCAGTCCTTTGTCAAGGTAAGGATACTATATACTACTGAGCTAGAATTTGTGGCCTATCCTAGGGCGCCTTTATTATCAACGTCTGATGGTCGATCTGTTATGTATTTCTGTATAACTCAGATGGGTATCTATAATGTATAAAACAAGAAAGTAGATATTATACCAGTAGTACTGATAGGATATCAAACCTACTAAGGCTGAAATTTATAACTTTGTAAGCATGTGATATCGGAAATAATATGTATTTCTGGCCGATTCCAGTCGTTTGACAACAATGGCTTTGTTGACTACGACTACGAGGATCCCACGCCATTGATGGACTCCTACCATGACGACATGGACTCGGGCTACCAGGAGCCGCACGAGGTGACTGGCTCCCTGAAGCGGTCGGCGATGCGAACTGTGGAGTCGCTGAACGACACCCCGACCAGTGGCGGATCGAGCTCAAATTACCACTCCAGCTCCAACCAGCAGATCGGCAACACCAAGTCCATCAGCCGCAAGACGACGCTGTCCCGCCGCATCAGCGATGCCTCCTCCCAGAATGGAACCTCCATGTAATTGTGCTGTCCATTGGGTATTGTACATTTCCATTGGACGGAGGCCATTGGGACTGGAATGTCGTCCACATCACTAACTGCAGACAGTAGGGATTATGATTACGCTTTGAACTTTTAGACTATTTTAAAGAGTGAGGCACAAGTGTGGGCTGTTCTCGGGAGTCACAAGAGCAGTGCGTCCAGGAAATCACGGCATCGCGAATTCAGGACGGCAGCTGCTGGAATCGTTACCCATGGATCGCTACTACAGAAGAGCCACGCACCTGCGATCATCTTTCAAGCCTACTAGGGATCGTATCCACTGGTGTACCATGTATAATACTCGTGCACAAAATACTCGCTTGTAAACACACTACACACGTCTTTTATAAATAATACCCGCAACTATAGCTATATCAGATAATCCAACTAAAGCTGATCGGAAAGGCCAACTATTGTATCTGCATATAGACCTACCACTTGGAGTCCTTCTCGCCCGGATCGGGGTCTCGAATAAATAAACATACATAGATTTTGAAAATACTCTGAACACGTCTCGCCTTCAGCGCTCGTTTAATTGTTAGCCATAAGAACAATAAATAATAATAAAATTCTCAGTAGTACATAAAAATCTGCTGTCGCATTAACCATTTCGCTCGATTCCATATATGATATGGGTTAAACTCTAGATGGTGGCTTTTCCTCTCTGAAGACAAAGTTAAAAAATAGTATTATGTGGAGGGTTTTCTTGATTTAGAAACAATTTGAAACGAGTAAATGGAGGAAAGTAAGAAATCTCTCAAGCGAAACTGGCTTTTGATTAGCAGATCAGCATCATCAACATCGCCATCATCCTTATCATCGTCCTTAACCAGTATATAAATCTTAGGATTAAAAAAAAAGAGAGTGTTGATGGATTTCAGTTGAGCGGGTTCCGCACCCGTGTAGCTTAGCAGCTCAGTATGCTCTTGATCCAGTCGTGCAGATGCACCTCGATCACGTTCACCTGGCCGTAGTTCTTCAGATGGAACTGATTGAAGGCGGTGGTCAGATGGATGACGGCTGAAACGAAGTCGCTGAGCCTGAGCGTGCCGTCCTTGCGGATATAACGCTGGATCAGGCAGTTCATGATGTCCGTGCTCAGCTGGAAGCCGATGTCGCAGAGGGCATCGCGCAGTCGCTCCGCGCGCAGGATGCCCGCCTTCTCCTTGGTGTACATCTTGAAGACGCCCTGCCAGGACTTCAGGTTGACCATGAAGGTCTTGAACTGCTGGAAGGTGATGCGGCCACTGCCGCTCCTGTCCTGCAGCGCGATCACCTGGCGACAGATGTCGATGTTGGCGCATCCCTTGATGTAATCATTGGGCAGGCACGCCTCCAGGAGCTCGTGCAGCTCGAAGCAGTTAATCGTCTTGTTCTCATCCGCCAGTTGCATGTACACGGGCTCATATTGACACACGCTCTTTACCTTCGGGCCACCGGCTCGCTCGGCATCCGTGCTCTTGAGTGCCGGAAAGGGATCCAGCAGGATCATGGTCTGCGTCTCCAGGCAGGAGAGGCGGAAGGAGCCGGTGCCCAGGAGGCGGACCGTAAAGTGTGCCTCCTCCGCCGGCTCATAGGTGGTCGGTATGAGGACGTAGTGACCCGCCTCCAGGTGCGTATGATAGCTAACGTGCCGCGTGTTCCCGTAGTCCGAATTCAGGTAGCTCACATGGTTCTTGAAGAAGTCCTTCTGCAGGCACTCGCTGAGCATATACTCGCCATCCCATGTGTACATCGTAAAGCCAATGACCTTCGGCTCCACGGCCGTGTGCTGATTGAGGGCAATCACCAGATCCTGCTCATCCTGCACCGATATCAGCAGCTGGGGATTGATGTGGAACGATTCGTGATTGCGACAACCACCGGCGGTGACGCCTCGCTTCCACTGGCCCTGGTGCATCTTCATCTTCCAGTGCAGCGGACGACTCTTGAGCATCTCCTCGTCGTTGGACGTCTCCGTGTCCAGGTACACCACCTCCATGGTGCTAAATATCTCCACAAAGTCGCAGAACGACAGCCAGAACTCGCCGGGACCCAATTGCCGAATGAGGCGCGCCCGCTCCACCTGCGACACTCGCTCCCACGTCTTGGACATCGGCGACCAGTCGCCCAGGAAGTGCGTCTTCTCGCCAAAGGGCTTGCTCGAGAACGTATCCTTCAGGCACACCAGCTGCACCGAGTCGCCCATCAGCGTCTTCACCTTATCCAGGCTGGAAAGTCTGTAGGTTCAAAGAGAAAGGTTCGTTATAGTTGGGAAAACATACATAAATATGCCCAAGTTTTTGGGCTTAACCAAAGAGGTAGTGGAATAATAGACAGATAGATTGTTCCAGAAAACTGTTTAGTCAGTTCAGCAATGGAAGAGGTATCCCACAAAATCGCATAAAGCTTACCTGTAGTTAACGTTCACCAGGATCCCATTGGGCATGCGCTCGGCAAGATTCTTCTTGGCCACGGTGGCACTCTTGTCCGCCAAGCAGGTGACGATGCAGGTGGTGGTGAGCAGCTCCTTGAGCGTCTGCGGCCGGATGCTATCCGCGAGGATGGGCATTTGCCGCACCACGCCGCCCAGGAGATCGGTGAGTCCGTCGGAACGAGTGCCATACTTGAGGGCCTCATAGGAGCCGTGCAGCTTGGCAATGGCCTTCTCCAGCAGGGCGGCCCAGAAGCAATTGGACGCCTGCGGCTGCATGAACGCCAGTCGCCCATTGATGGTGGGCAGACGGTCGTCGACGAGTACCTCCACCCACTCGCCACACCACCACAAGCGGAAACGAAAGACGCCGTGTGCACTGGCCAGGGTCTGATCGGCGGGCACCACGCGGTAGAAGAGGTTCCTTAGGGAACTCAACAGTCCCAGGCAGGAGACCAGCCAGCGATCGCCCATTTTGCCAGGCACCACATCGAATTCCGCCGTCTCGTTGAGGAACACTGGTCCCGGACTGGTTGCAGCCACTGTACCGGAGCCATTATCCGCCAGATCCATGATGCGCTTCCATTGGAAGGTGAACGGCGGTGTTTGGTAGTAGAAGACCGAAGATTGGACCGCGGGGAAATCGGGGTCTTCCCACAGCACGTTCTTCGCCCTGCAATCGCTCAGTATGCGCTCGTATTTGGATGCCATTATCTGGGCGTTGATATCCTTCACATCACTCCCGCCAGTTTCGAGGTGCCGATCCTGATCGCTGCTACTCCTAGTCCTACTGCTCAACTGCGATTTGCCTTGGTCTCCGCCCCTCGTAGCCGAAGTGAAAGTTAACGAGCTGCATGAAATATACAATGCCAACTAGCTGGGCCAACTCTAGCTGCGATCCCGAACCGGTTCCGATCGGTTCATCTGCGGGAACCGTTTTAATTGGGCCCCAAACTCCGCCGTCGTAGCCACCGATTCCAGATTCCGCCAACTGGTTCCAGATGCTCGACCATCCACCATCTTGGGTCGTTGCGCATGCGCCGCTGGATGGCCAATTATGCATTGCTGCTAAATATTTGGGAATTAGTTCGCTCGAAAATCAGTGCGCTTCAAACTAAGTTTAAGAAAGTAAAAAGTAAGTTTAGGAAGTATAACATGCACATAGTTCTAATGACGCTTTTATCTTGCGTCGCATCCAATTCAGATGATTCATATTTACATTTCCTGGTACTACTGGTACTACTAACTACTGGCAAACAAAAAACAGACACTTGTAAGCTGCATATTAGATTGAAGTAGTGATTACTTAGAATGAAAGGCGCATCAAAAGTGGCATAAAAACGTTTATTATACAAAATGGTACTACATTAAAAATAAGTTCGCACGGCATTTGGATGGCAGTTCGTGTAGTAGAATATTATCAGGGCAATACCGACAATATACAAGGCAATAATGGATGTGGCAAGGATTAGAGGAATGTACAAGGCGCAGGCGACAGCATTTTGCAACAAGCAGAATGAGAGGTAAAAGGCGTATTTATATTTGGTTGGCGCATCCTTAACGGGCGTAAAAATAAACAGGTAGACTACGCCGAAGCACAGGCAGTACAGGTAGTTCATAAGGCGGGATTCCGCGATCATGGGCGAGTCCACAAAGAATACAATGGTGCCGCAAAAGCAAGCGAGCGCCGCACAAATGATCACTGTTTCGATGGGGAAAAGACTGGCCACATATGCGATGCAAAGCGTTCTCGAAACTACAAAATAAAGCAAATAACTGGAGAATTACCACAGACCACCTACAGCACCGCTGCCAACTGCACTAACCAGTGAGGCACAGCAGGAAGAGAAATTGCAGAAATCGTCCCTTTGCCGCGATATCATGTTTGTCCAGCTGAGCCAGGCGATTGGAGTGATTGTACGCCTGGATGCACCACGCTATGTTGCCAAAGTAGACGACGAGGGCAATCCGGCGGTAGTCTGAGGAAAGCAATTTGAATAGTTAATGGGTAAGTGCATCCACCGACTTTCTCCACTTTCGTTGCATACAGTCTATACATTGACTTTGATTTCCAAAAGCGAACGTCAGAGCGTCATAGCATAACTCCTCATAAGCATAACTTACAGACATACATTAAGTATCAGAATTAAAGCAGAGAATTTGAAGTGTACAATTTGAGTGTTGATTGAAATATATCACTAATATAGTATTATATTTGTCTTACATGTGAACTCCTTTGCCGATCGCAATACAATTGCCAGCTGTAATATTTTCTGCGGTGCTGATTCCAGAAACGAGTCGAAAAGCCGAACGAAACTAACATTGCACTCTTCCGTCACGAGTTTTTGGTAATATCTGCAAAACAAGCATTCCGATATTTGTTACTACCATTCAAAAGTGCCCGCCTATGATGAAAAGAAAAGAGGAACTAAAATAAACTTAATATAAATATAAATTAAGATAAAAGTCCATTCTACACAGCGAGAATACGACTAACTACTAGAGCATAGATGTACTATAATCTCCTACTCATGCATTATACACTGCACTCATTACTCACCCGATCTCCTCCTGCTTGTCACCCCGGTCTTTGGCCATCGAGTACTTAAAAGCATAGTTAAGGGCGTAGACATCGCGGAAAAGATATGAGATCACAGCATTTGAGTATACCCCTCGCTCCAGGATGCGTTTTTCACCCGAATGGCCGGCCTTCAAGCTGAAATACACACAAATACATAGTTCGTGATCTATAGATTTCGGGGGAAACACACGCATTCGAATTCCTACGTGTGTATATATATGACCGATGTGACCGCCATGGGCACCAGAATGGAGCCAATGGTCCAGGCGCAGTATCCGTACGACTCCTCCATCCAGTACGCGTACGCCAGGCTCCAGTTGATGCAGATCGAGACGAAGCGCCACAGAATAGACACCAGAGTGAGCACCATGCTCAGTTTTGAGATCGGCTCCATCCTGAGGGCGTCCACTTCGGTTCCTTGTTCCGCGGAGGCCATAACTCCTCCCTCCTTCCAGTCGTGATATTGCACATGTGACACCCTATTCCATATATATCCAAGGCCCCGACCTCCAAACCACTCTCTACTGCAACTTGTTGAATTGATTAAGGTTTTAGACTGAAACACTGGAGATTCTAGAGGAACTTGTTCATTTGAACTAGAGATAGATCGTTTGATGTTATCGGCGGCAAGCCGATACATAGTTGGTGCATCGATAGCGTCATCGTTCGAGTGCCATCTTTAGCCGACGGGTGGGATAGAAGTTCCAATTGGGATTTACATCCAGTGATTTTCTAATTAAATTAATTTTTTCCAATTGCCTAAATGCACATTCTGCGAAACGGATCGAACAAACAAATATGAATGTTTGAAGCGAATCAAACCGCAAAGAGAAGTGCAAAACTGATTCGTGGCCTACCGTCGACCTTAAAAAGGAGATCAAAGGAGAATAGAAGAAGAGCAAGTGGCAAAAACACAAAAACAAAGAGAGGAGCGAAAAAAAGGCCAACATGAACAGGACACTGTATGTACGCCATGCGATATGTGCCATTTGGCTGGTTGTACTGGCAACTCCTGGCATAGTGGCCCAGCTGGACCTGGATCAGATCCAGACCCAACTGCCCGACCAGCTGAGCAAGTCGAACTTTAGCGTCAACGACGCCAAGGAGCTAATCCGCAACAAATGCGTCGAGGTGGCCGGCGAGGAGGCGGGCGGCGAGGCGTACGGCGAGATCGAGTCCGGATTCATGGTGCTGACGGAGTGCCTCAATGGCATTGTCAACTACACGGCGATGCAGCAGGAGATACAGGAGGCGTCGCCCAAGGGCGAACTGGATGTGGTCTTCAACAAGTACTGCAGCCGGCGTTCGAATGCCGTGGAGTGTGTGGATGTGTTCACGGCCAAGCTGGTGCCCTGTCTGTTGCCGGAGGAGCGCGAGGGTCAGGATGTCATCAAGCAGATCATCCAGAGTGTGCTCAACTTTGTCTGCCACAAGGATGGCGATAAGATAGCCCTCTTCATTGCCGAAAAGGGACCCGAATGCATTGAGTCCCAGAAGGACAACATACAGCAGTGCGTGAACAACACGTTCTCCGAGTACCTAAACCTTTCGGATCTGCAGGACAACCGGATAAAGAGCATGCCCAAGCTGACGGTCGGGCAAAAGCAGTGCGACGAAATGCTGACACTGCAGGCATGTGTGGTCAGTAAACTGGAGAATTGCTTGGACATATCCCCGGCGAATCTCGTCGAGTCCATGTTCAACTTCATCAGGAACCAAACCCTGTGCCGGGACAATCAGAAATCGCCACTCGTTGCTGCTGCGGCCAGCGGAGGAAGTCGGACATTCCATCAAGTGTGGCCCAATGTGGGCATCTTTTTGCTTATCCTGCGATTCGCTCTTCATAAGACACCTTAGTTCTAAGTCTAGGCTAGTCCGCTATATATCTCGAATCCGGATCCGGAATCTGTAAAATGCCTTCTCAATGCTTCGACTTTTGGCAGTCCAAAGCGATTTATCAAAGAGCACGATAATCACTGTTTTCAAGCTTTTGCTTCGCTTGTATTAAATATGTACGCATGTAGCCGTGGAACAGGTGTCCATAGTTCAACCGCTTTCGGGAATGCGCATGTCAAGGTATTCCAGGCCAGGCTATTTTGTTTGGTGCTTCTAATTTATGTAATTATTTGCTAGTTTATATAGTATTTGTAAACAATGCTTCTGCTTCTACTGCGGAACTGTTGAATCTGAATCTGAACTTCTTCTGGCCTTTGTCGTGCGTTCATCTCAATGCTTTATTTTAATTTAATGTAAAAATGGACTTCTGGATTTGATTCGAGTTGGGTTTGTATTAAATCGCGTATTCAAGCTATGGTAATCTCACTATTTCAAAGTGGTTCGGGTATGGGTTTGGGAAATGAAATGCTATATATGTATGAAAAATGAATGGAAATGTTTTGTAAATGAATATACGTATCATTACTGTAATAATAAAGTGATAAAATTGAAAATAAATTTATTCGATAGTACTACGAGTTCATTAATACTTGGAGTTAAAGGTCAATTAGGTGGTGAAAAGTACTCAGAGCAGTAGATACCCTGCAGTTCCATTCATTACGTTTTCGGAACTGAATCACCATCTAGTTTTCATAACGAGTGCGATTTTTAAACTTCGCGGCAAGAAAACCACCACTAAGTGCGCGGGAAAACGTTGAACAAAATTTGAAAACATTATTTCGATATTTGCTGATTTTTTTTGTGAGTAATCATTCCCCATAATCGAAAAATAAGGTTGTAAACAGCTGTAGTATTTTTAAACACTGTTTTTTAAGTTCAAGTGTTTTTTCATGCAAAAGTGATTTTCTCATTTAAATTGTTCATCACCTTTCCATTGTTTCCCCAAATTAAATTTAAAAACTCTTTTAATAGAACACTAGCTTTTTATATAAATAATAGTTGCTTCTTATTAGCAGCGTTACCTTTATATTTATAATAATTTATAAGATCACTAGTATTTGCTTAAGCATAGTTTTAAAATGTAAAAATATAAAAATTGAAAATGACTCCCATAATTGAACTATCAAAAGGATAATATTTAAAAAATAAAAAATTAGAAAAAATTAATACTTGTATTAAATTAAAGGGCTTGCATTTTAAATGCTTTAACAAATGATGCCATTATAATGATCACGTGATTTTACTGTGATTTTTAGGCTTATAATTTTTTTGTCTTAGACAAACCTATATTGGTTATTTGATTGACTGCTTTATTATCTTTATTTTTGCAACACATTTCCAACTAGTGACAAATAATCCAATGGCGTTAATTCTTAGGTTTTATATTTTCTTCAGAAGTCATGACCGCTGATCACGATGCCGTGTATTTTTTTACGATATTTTTTGAGTGAAAGCCAATGTGCTGTTTCGATTAAAACTTGCAAATGAGCGTAAATAGATGTATATTTTGTATTTATTGTACTTAAAAAAAAGGCGCATGAACGCGCCCATTTATCCGTTTTGGCCGGGGAATGGGCCGCGAAAAGTGCGTTCATGGGCGCCGCAAAGTGATGTAACAATAGCTGCGACCGCAGCAGCGGAACGCGCGGAATGGAACGCACGGAACGGTATCGTAGTATCGTACATGCGGTCGCACGCCATACACGATGGTCTCTTTCGGTGCAACTCTGATTCGACAGTTTCGGCACAGGTCGGCAGCGGCATTTCAGATTGCGGAGTCCGCCATTTTAGCTAAAAAATCTATAACCCTAGCTTCGTCAGCGTGCAGTGCGAATAGGGGTCAGTTGCAATTTGGAATTCAGATTGTTCGCGAATATTCGAAAGCGTCGAAGATGAGTACTTTGCCTAGGGTATTTTTTGATATGACCGCCGACAACGAGCCCCTCGGTCGGATCGTCATGGAGGTGAGTTATTTGCTCTTCTTATTTTTTAATTTAAAACTTAAGTTGAGTTTTTTTTTTTTTTTTTCTTAACTTTTGAGCAAAAGTGAAAAACACGTGATTTGCCATAAAGCTATTTCTCGGGCATTAAGCCTATGTGTCTTACATTATGTGCCGCAGTTGATAAGTACATACCGTTTTTTCATTTTTTTTTTTACGGAATTAGAACTTGTATAAAATAAAATATACACACAGCTCAAAGTCGCCCTCTAATTTGCAAGCGACAAGTGCAATTTTTTTCCATGACTAATGCATGACAATGCGCTCTTGGTGGATTTTGAATTTTCCAACCCAATTGGACAGGCGCCTTTAATCGGAAAATCTCTATAATTATCTCTACATCGCGGAATTTCGAGCAGCCAGCCGAGCAACCACCACCACCCCCCGCAAATTGGCCATTTGGTTTCATTATCATAATAGAATGGAATTTTCCTTAATTTAATTGACGTGTCGGCAAACTTCTGCTGAAATGGTGTGCAATTTTTACCGGTATTTTCAATGCATATGCGCTTGTGTGCTATAAGTACATTCCGGCGTGCCGTGCCTGTGTGTGTGGCCCCATACCCATACACACATTCAGATCAATACACGAACATAACCTCCATGCGGTCACTCGCATTTATACATGTGTGTATGCGGGTATGTACGCGCAGATGTACAGTGTACACACAGAGATATTCGGGTGTGAATGCGCGAGTTCTGTAAACCCGTTTGCAAACATGAACTCACTATTAATTCCGCCGATGATGTAATGTACATTTCATGTTTGAATAGGGAAAAAGAAAAGCAAATGCTTGATGTGTATTTTTAGTGGCCTGGGAATAAAGTCATTGCCCGAAAAGTAAACCATACCCACATGCCTACGATTTTTCTTCCAATAGGATTTACACATGTACATATCTACATGCAGTGCGAGAAAAAGTCTGCACTTTACGCTGAATCCTTAGGCTAAATAATTGGAGATTTATAGAGTAGCCGCAATAGAATAAGCATTTACTAATCTTGTCTTATTTATACAATTGTCTCGTTTACGGGATGAATTGGAAAATTGGTCAAATTCCAGTGCACTTACAAGTTCTGTACATTGTATGTATATATTTATTCTTTTGGTACAGATATGCACATATGTATGTATGTACCTATGTATGTGTGCATACCAAAAACGTGCTATTTTATCAAAGGGCTAAAAATGGCGCCGAAAACCGAAAAAAGAACGCGGCGTCCGCGGCATCAACAAAACAGCTGATTGTTTATTCCAGCTCAACATGCATTAAGTAAGAAAGTGTCCAGTCTTCAAAAAAATGTAAATAGTCTCAAGGTCGTCCGACTGAGGATAAACAATCGGAACTTAATGGGTGACCCATTTGAAAGTCATGCTTTGCAAGCGCATTCTGCCAGTATTTATTTATTGTTTACTAACCCAGTTTCCCGTCCTGTTTGTACATTGCAGCTGCGCTCCGATGTCGTGCCTAAGACCGCCGAGAACTTCCGCGCCTTGTGCACCGGCGAGAAGGGATTCGGCTACAAGGGCTCCATTTTCCACCGCGTCATCCCCAACTTCATGTGCCAGGGCGGCGACTTTACCAACCACAACGGCACTGGCGGCAAGTCCATCTACGGCAACAAGTTCCCCGACGAGAACTTCGAGCTGAAGCACACCGGCTCCGGCATCCTGTCGATGGCCAACGCTGGCGCCAACACGAACGGCTCCCAGTTCTTTATTTGCACCGTGAAGACCGCCTGGTTGGACAACAAGCACGTCGTCTTCGGCGAGGTCATCGAGGGCCTGGATGTGGTCAAGAAGATTGAATCTTATGGATCCCAGTCCGGCAAGACCTCCAAGAAGATCATGGTGGCTAACTCTGGTTCTCTTTAAGAATGTGCGATGCAAAAGCAACATTACAAGAAGAAAAATCTGTTAAGACGAAAACCATTTGCATTTTCTCCAAAACATTTTTTTTTTACCAATTACTGTAATATTACGAGAAAAATACAATACAACCAACATATTTTTTCAATAGACATGTTTAACTATATTCCCATTGGGTTTTGTTTTTGGCCATTCAATTGTATGTGGGGGCCAAAAGTTGAATATAATTAGAGCCTCCCAATGTCAGACAGCGTTTAACTGGCTATAGCCCATATAAAAAATATGCATTAAATCTGTAACTTTCACATTTCCATTGAGTAAAAACAATGAGACGAGAGACAGCAGGGGACTTAGAAAAATGTTTGATCTTTTGATGTTGGCTTACTAATAATAGTAATAGTAATGCTGATTATCTAATTGCATATATACCAACGTTCTACGCTATGTACCGGAATCGGAATTGTATTTTCGTCTTAATAAATCTAAATAAACGGCAACCAAATACTAAATTGTGTGTTGTCATTGCGGTTTTGGTTGTGTAAATGGGCTTTGTTTATTGGAAGAATATTTCGGAGCTACTCAAGGTGGCGTACAGCAGATTGTACTCATGTTCGTAGGCGTTCACATGTCGTTCGGTTATCGCCACCGTCTGGAAGAGCTTCTCGTCCGGCTGCTCCGTCGCCGTCCGCTGCTGGCCTGCCAATATGTCGCGCACCTTGGAGCGCTCCGCGTTCAGGTGCTGCGTGGTCGTTTGGCTCCAGCCCAGCTCATGGAACTCCGTCTGCTGGTTCAGCATGCTTAGGATGTAGACCAGGCCGATGGCGAAGCCATCCTCGAACAGCGAGACCTTGGCCTGGTCCTTTTTGTAGATCTTCAGCTTCTGCTTGACCCGGTAGTCAATGTAGTTCATGATGAGTGCCGGTGTGATGAGGTAGAAGGTTCGCAGGTGCTGGTTATGTGGATTGCACAGGAAGGGCTGAAAGCCTTGCAAAAGAAGCTGCAATATAAGCCATGAATTAAGCTGATAAGTCATTTGGCAAGGTCGTTGACTGCACCTTGAAGTAATTTGTGCTATCAGAGTAGCATTCCTTCATGTGACCCAGGCTCCTCTCGTACGCCTTGATGGAGCCCTCCGTGGCCTCGTGCACCTTGGAGCCTCCGCTGCTGAAGCTGCTGTCGAATCTGGTCTTATACGAGCGATTCCGGAAGTTGGCGTTCTTGCTACCCGCCTGCAGGAGGCGCACATAGCCCACAGCGTTGCCTGAAAGCCATATTTACAATTATATTTGACAAAGTGGTTAAATCAAATTGAAGCCTTTTACGCACCGACTTGTGTGATTACCTTCCTGAACAGATCCATATAAGTCTCGCCATTGCTGGAGCAGCCCAGCCTTCTGATTTTCTTGAGGAAGCTGTCGGCGCGCTCATAGGGATAAGACTGATAGGTGTTGCTGTGCTTGTGCTCTGAGTGAAAGCGCAGCTCCTTGAGCAGCCGCGACTTGATCTGCTCGTCGTGGAGGAAGGTGGAGAAGGTGTAAAACTTCTGGCGCAAGAACTGGTATATGAAGTTGACGGTGGTGTTGATTATCCCGGTGCCGTGCGTCTGCACCGAGTTGGCCACGTGCCGGGTGCCTATGATGTCCAGGTGCTTGCTCCTGCTGTGCGTCTCCACGAACACCTGCAGGTTCATATTGTAGGCATACGAGGAGGCGAATGTGTGTATATTCCGCATGATCTGCAGCACGTCTATGCCCTTGAAAGCGCGAAAGACTTATTTGGTTAATAGAAGAGATTGGAGATTGGCGACTTGATTGGCTACCTGGTCAATTATCTGGTTGGGCAGGTGGTCATCGATGGGACGCAGCTGCATCACCTTGTTGGCCAAATGACGCATCTTTTCATACGATTTCCAGTCGTGCGGAGCGATTGTCGTTAAATTGTAGAACGTGGCAGTAAAGTAGTTCTCTAGGTGATCTGAAATGAAGTGATTAGTGAATGCTATTAGTTTTGTAAACAACGCCCAATATCCTACCCCTTATAATATTGTAATCTCCTTCATTTTCAACTGAAACTGCATTGATGCAGAGGCGATAGTCTAAGGCACTTTGCTGGAATGGTTGATCCTGGTTCTGGAAGAGATGCGAAAGGGCCTCCACCCGCAGAAAGTACTCCAGGTGGTTGCTCAAAAAATCGATGATCAAGTCATTCGCTGATTGCTTGGGACACCTTGAAACCCTGAACATAGCCATGATCTTGTCCAGGTGATGGCTCACCGACACAAGATTCTGCAGAGGAATGGTATAAATATGCAGTTGCTTTGCTACATATTGGGTAAAAAACATACCTGTAAGGAGTAGGGGTTGCGTTGCAGCTCGGTGTACTCCTTAAGCACCGAGGTGTTCAGGAACCAGTGATTATATACCAGACTCGAGGAGTCCGACGAGCTCAGTTGCCCTCCGATATCCCGCATAAGCTCGCTGATGTTATTAACACGGTGAAGGATGGATTTGATTAACTTTTGATTGTCGGCGGGCAGGAGGCGATTATCCAGAAACTCCCCGAGGGCTAGATTTATGAAAGTCAATCGTTGTTTGCTCGGAAAGCCCATAATAGACCTCTCGGCCAGCTTCATTGTGGCCAAAAAGTTCATCTTGCGCTGCAGCAACTTCAGATCAACTATCTTCTTTTTCGTTGTGTGCAGCAGGTGAATAACCTTTTGCTTCTGCCACTGTATCAGCGAGCTGATGAAGCGTACGAAGTTGATTTGGTTTGACTCAAAGATCTTTTGAATGACCTTCTGGTACTGCAGCAACCGAGAGACGACGAACCAATCGTGGTTGGTCATTGGCGTCTTCAGGGCCACATGGCGGTTGATCAGCGAGATTGCCAGCAGGCTAACTTGATCGGCATAGGTGTGACCATTAAGAATCAGCTGCATGAAAGTCTTGAGGTGCCCAAAGACTCCGACATCGAATACCCTCTGCATTCTGATGGACCACAGCGATATTTGGACGCCCAACTGACGACATGCCTTCTGATCACTAAGCCTAAACTTCTCCAAAACTGTGTTATGGACTTTTGGGCCATGTCCATCCTGAGATCGGGCTGATGACTTCATCAGTGTTTTGGCATGTAGGGAGAGGAATCCGGAAGGCGACCAGAAAACGCTTCGATTGAGGGGCACCTGCTTATGCCTGGCCACCAAGTCGACCGCATTCTTGACCAGTTTTCCCTCCATCTGGATGCCTAGCTCATGGACCACCACCACGAAGGTGGTAAGGCGAATAATGTGCTTGGGATCCTCATAGAGTTTAAATTCGTTACTCTGATTTGCGTCGACGTCGAGCAGCTGTTTACGAATATAGGCATTGGAATGCTGTGTGATGGGGCTAACACTGTTCAGGCTAAATTGCTTCTTCAATTCCATCAGGTTGTCCAGTAGAATCTGTTTATAAATATGAATGAACGGGGGTACCATTTTCGTTTGCCTTGAACTTACTCGAAAGAAATCCTTGGTGATCAGATTCTCTATATCTACTAGAGCTGTACTGAGGCCATTGAGCTCCAAGCTCGTGGATTGGCTATTGGACAGATGCATTAGCCACTTCTTGTACAGCGCCCACATAGTGGAAATCTTCGATTGGTTCGCCAGTTCATTGAATACTACTATGTGTTCCAGTAACTCAGTCATAGCATCAAAGACCGCCTGTTAGTTTCGACTTCAATTGGTTACTTCACTTCATTTGAGCTAGATCTTTGACTTACGAATATGTGGACTTCATTGATGTCCATTGGGACGCTAACAGACGCGGCTATTTGTCTCCAAAGATTTTGGAGTATCACAATCATGCGTTTGAGCAAAAAGTAGACCTGGCAGAAGAAGTCCATGGAGCTGCTCATGTGGACCAAGGATCCCTCCAGCCCGGAGGAACCCTCGGATGTTGGGGAATGTGGCGGGAGCGCATCATCCAATCGGAAGTCGATGAAAAGGAATGCCAGCTGAAACCGTTTCGCCTTCCTGGACAGATTCTTACACTGATTGCACAGATTTGCCAGAGTTGTCAGCGGCTTATTGGCCACAAGCTCCGATTCCTCAAAGCTCCTGTCCGGAACCATGGAGTGATTGCCCATCAGGCTTACCTCGACGACTGGCGACATATATACACAGGGTGCAGGCTCCAAAACATCCGAATTAGGCACTTTATCCCGCAATAATTTTAAATTCCTATCGTGCTCCAATATGAAGGAGCCGTAATCCCTTAGGATATCCTCGGCAAACATAGCTGATATAGAAAATAGATAGATTAGAATAATCCTAAATAGCTGACATCGGAGTTTCCATGCATACACATAGAGCTTTGCTCCTCCTTCATGTTTGCCCAATTTAAAAATATTATTGTTATGATTTTCCTATTAGTAATTTAGGGATGGGGCATTTCAAGTGGGTGGATTTCGAATCGATAACGATAAGGTATCGATATATCTGCGATTGCACCGTACATTTCGTAAAAATTGCGTTTAATTGAATGGAAGAGTCAGTTGCATATCGATAAATATGATTTATTTGTTTTAGACAATTTTATAGCAGGTAAAGCATACCTCAGATATTTAATTTATATCATTTATATAATATTTGATAACAGGTAAAGCATACCTAATCCTCAGATATTTAATTTATATCATTTATATAATATGCGTCATATTCATTCGATTTAAGAAAGAGCGGTAAATATACACAATCGCAATGGTTATGATTATTTAGTTGTCACTTAATACAATAAAAAATGTATTTCTATAATGTGAATACGATTGGTTATCGATAGCGAGGATTAAAATCGAATATCTTAATACGATGATCTAAACGTTGCTATATATTATTGTAACACAACTTTTGCTCATAAATCATCGTTTTTATTGATCTCTTACGTATGGATTCAAATGTATTTGGAGAATAAGTTATTTCAAATATAGGTTCTGTTATCGATTAAAAAAGGATTGCCGTGTGTAAGGGCCCCAAACAGCGTGTATGCATGAGTGTATGTGTACACACACAAACGTTACCGTTCCAATTCCATTTGTTCCGATGGCCCTGTCAAATGCCGAGCAATCCAAACGCGTCGTATTTTTATAAGTCATTGCAAGAATTAATATTTAGTGCGTTAATGTATTTTCATTGAATTTAACAGTCGTTTGCCCAACTTATTTGGCAAATTTAGTTGTGAGGCGTGTTTTTCAAAATATTCTTATAGTAAATAGGACGGCATGGAAACGTCTGAAAAAGGTTGATTATCAAATTGATTATTTGTTAGAATTCAAGTTTAACCATGTTATAAAATTCATTTTCAGAAAAGGCCGGCGGAGACGAAGCCGAGACCTCATCCGAGGCCCTCGAGAAGACCACAACAGGAACGGACGCAGAAGCGGTGCTAAAGGAAATCCCAGATTCCAATCCCGACGCAACCAATTTGGATTCAGTATTGCAAGAAAAGGGCAAGAGCAAGTCTCCTTCGCCGGCACCCGAGAATGGTGATGGAAATGCCGGGACTATCGCCGACCGCTCGCGTAGTCGCAGTCGCAGTGCTACCAGGAGGAGCGTATCACGTTCGCGAAGCGGATCCCATCGGTCCCGCAGCGGATCGGCGCACTCGGCAGCTAGTGGCCGGCGTTCGCGCAGTGGCTCCAAGCAGTCTCTGAACGGGTCCCGGCGGTCGCGGAGCGGTTCCGCTCGCTCCCGCAGTGGCTCCCGGCATTCTGGCGCAGCTCCGGGCTCGCCTGCTGGATCCAGACGCTCGCGCAGCGGCTCAAGACGATCCCGCAGTGGCTCCAGGCTTTCCCGCAGTGGATCTAGGCGATCTCGTAGTGGATCACACCGCTCCCGCAGTGGTTCCAAGCGATCTCGCAGTAGGTCCGGTTCTAGACGCTCAAATAGATCGCGGAGCGGTTCCCGGCGTTCGCGAAGCGGCTCTGGATCTAGAAGATCTCGCAGTGGATCCGGATCAAGACGTTCTCGAAGTGGCTCCAGGCGCTCTCGCAGTGGTTCTAGACGCTCCCGTAGTGGCTCCAGGCGCTCACGGAGCGGATCCAGGCGCTCTCGCAGTGGATCGGCTCGTTCTCGTAGCGGATCCCGCCGTTCCCGCAGTGGTTCTAGGCGCTCCCGCAGTGGGTCCAGGCGTTCTAGGAGCGGGTCCAGGCGTTCGCGAAGTGGTTCGGGCTCCAGGCGATCTAGAAGTGGATCAAGACGATCCCGCTCGCGAAGTGGATCCAGGCGCTCCAGAAGTGGATCCAGACGTTCTAGGAGCGGATCCAGACGTTCTAGGAGCGGATCCAGGCGCTCAAGGAGCGGATCCAGGCGCTCTAGGAGCGGATCTAGGCGCTCAAGAAGTGGAACCACTCGTTCCAGAAGTGGATCAAGACGCTCTAGGAGCGGATCGAGACGTTCTAGAAGCGGTTCCCGCTCTCGCAGTCGCTCCATTAGCGGTGGTTCGCGAAAGGGATCCCGGTCTCGGTCCGGTAGTGCCACATCCCAGACTGCTTCCAGGCGAAAACGACTGGCCGTCAGCGATTCTGATGGTAAGTACAGGCTACAACTTCTAGATACCCTTATTAATTTATAATTTCAATTCAGACGAAGGGCCAAAGGTGACAAAGAAGCGCGTGAAAATCACGGACACGGACAATGAAGAGGAGGATGAGCAGGGCAATGGCCTAGGCAAAGAGAAATTGCAAGACAAAATCACAGAGAGCTCTGACGATGAAAACACACCAATTTCAAATGAACCAGAGTAAGACTTAATTTCCTTCAAATGACTATAATTTAACCCTACATTTACGTCTTTTTCAGAAACAGCAACTTTATTTCAGACTTTGATGCCATGCTCTTAAGAAAGAAGGAAGAGAAGCGAGTGCGTCGTCGCAAGCGCGATATTGATCTGATCAACGACAACGATGATCTGATTGATCAGCTTATCATCAGTATGAAGAACGCCTCGGATGACGACCGTCAGCTAAACATGATGGGTCAGCCGGCCACGAAGAAGATTTCGATGCTGAAGCAAGTAATGTCACAGCTGATCAAGAAGCACTTGCAGCTGGCCTTCTTGGAGCACAACATACTCAATGTACTTACAGATTGGTTAGCGCCCCTGCCAAACAAAAGCCTGCCATGTCTTCAGATACGGGAGAGTATTCTCAAACTGTTGTCAGATGTAAGTAACATGCTTGGCTTCTTATACTATGGGTTCTCATGTCATCTCTTCCTTTAGTTTCCTACCATTGAAAAGGGACTTTTGAAACAGTCGGGCATTGGCAAGGCTGTGATGTATTTGTACAAACATCCACAGGAGACCAAGACGAATCGCGATCGCGCTGGTCGCCTGATTTCGGAGTGGGCCCGGCCGATATTCAACCTCAGCTGCAACTTCTCAGCGATGAGCAAGGAGGAGCGTCAGGAGCGTGATTTGGCGCAGATGTCGCGTCATCGCCATAAGAGTCCGGATCCAGAGCCTTCCTCCAGCAGCAAAGCACCTACCTTGAATCACACCTTCTCCAACGAGGACAAGCTGCTACGTCCAGGAGACCCTGGCTGGGTGGCGCGCGCCCGTGTTCCCATGCCCTCCAACAAGGACTACGTCATCCGCCCTAAGTCAACCGTCGAGGGTGAAATCTCCACGGTTAGTAGCCCAGCATTAAGCTCTAGTCTTCGTCTCCTTTATTCATTGATCTCATTGCACATTTCAGTCGACCAAGCGCAAGCCAAACCGCTACGAGAAGCATATGAAACGTTTTCTGGACTCAAAGCGACTGAAGGAGAGCCGCAGGGCAGTTGAGATATCGATAGAGGGTCGCAAGATGGCACTGTAAGCAGCATTCTAGCTAACTTTAAATTAAATAAAACCGAAATCATAGAACAAAATTAAATATATATTTTTGAATATAACTCCACACGAGAAAGCTACCCTTTTGTATTATGCGGGTCCATTGGAGACATTAAAACTTTGAGCTAGATTCCACAGTCAAAAGGAAGGAGATGGGAGAGCAATGCAGGCCGGGCTCATCACGAATGCTGCAATCTTATCAGGAAGAAACAAAATCAGTTGTAAATATGCACATGTGCAATTGAAATAATATGAATCCCCCGATTAGCTATTGCAGCTTTCAGTTGGGCTGTAAAGTAATGATCCGCTGCAATATTAAATAAACACTAAACAGATTATACTGTCCTAAACTAAAAACTAAGACAGTAAAGATGGAAACGTTGGTCCGCAAGGAACAATAATACTTTTGTATACCCTTTAAAAGGTTATTATATTTTTAGGATACGTGGTTCCATATGTACAAATAAAAAACGAAGAAACCATATGATATACTCAACGCAGAGTTAAAGCAAAGATCTTGTTTTCCATTCTAATCTTAAGACCTCGCGCTTAATTTATTACGTGGAAAAAACCAAAGATTGGAGAAACTAAATTAGTACCATTCGGAATAGCTCGCACTGAAATTAAATGATAAATATAATATGTCAGTAGAGATAATGACCAAATAGATTTGTAGATGCTTTCCATTTTGAACAGGCAGAGTATCGAAAAACGAATATAAGACTGGTTTTAAAACGAATTCTCTTAAAATGCTAGGTAGGCTTGAATCATCAGATTAATATATTTGACGTAGTTTTTACAGCTGCTCCACAAACATATTTACAATATTTAATTGCCTTATATTTAAGACTGCGAAAGCTCAAAAAGCTTAGTAAACAATACGCGGGGTTTTTTTTGTGCCGGTAGCAAATACATAAGTGCACGGACAATCACAAAGATACTCGCCGTAGTAGCTAACATTATAAAATGGCATTATTAATAAAAGTCAAATTAAGGGCATCTTGGCACAGTTTTGCCGAGTCACACCCGCTAGGAAATTGGTTACTCCTAGAGAACTTGTGATGGATTATCGCCCCCAAGTGGAAACTACCGTTTGGAAAAGGTACAGGTACCCGTTCTTTGTACCTGGCCAAGGTGGAAGTTACCAAGAAGCAGTGTACCATGCTCGCATTTATGGATTTAAGTACATCACAGTTTCTTAAATACGTCACTTTCAAATTTAATTGAAATGAGTTTCTTGGCAAACAAATGCATATTCTTTAGTTTGCTACATAAGCAGCGGCATTCAAGCCAGTAATACATATTTCTTTCAACAAGAAGCACATACATTTTACACCAGAGCCAAAGGTACAAAGAGGTTTAGACCATATGCAATGCAGCCCCAAGATGTGTATACACCGCTGTGGGCGTGGCAACGTCGCCAATTGCCCAACGGGGTGGCATTGTTATCGCACGGCCCACTATCTCCTCGGAAATCTCCACCGACACCCATCAAGCGTCCGCAACACCCCACAAGCACTTGGGCTCGGTCTCGGTTTCTAGTTCTCGTTTTTGGGTTCACCTCTGGCGGTTGCTATCGCCGAATATTAAACCGGTTGCGCTGCCGTCTAATTGCTCAAACGCATGTACGCTGTGCCAAGTGGCGGTCGACAGCAATAGCTCCTCTATTCGAATTCCGCAGAAGTAAATCTGAGAAGTAAATAAACAAAGATGTCGCAGAAGAACGAGAAAATTGGCATTGTGGGCAGGTAAGTGGGAGCAGGAATAGCGATTCGCCAGGATATCCAGGTGCTCAATAGCAGTGTTCCCGTTCCAGCGGTCTGATTGGTCGCTCCTGGTCCATGCTGTTCGCCTCGGTGGGCTACCAGGTGGTGCTGTACGACATCCTGCCCGAGCAGGTGTCCACCGCATTGACTGCCACTCAGAAGGAGCTGCTGGATCTGGAGGCCAAGGGCCTGCTCCGTGGCAAGCTGACCGCCGCCCAGCAATTCGCCTGCATTTCGGGCACCAACGACCTCAAGGAGCTGGTCAAGGGCGCCATCTTCGTCCAGGAGTGCATTCCAGAGCGCCTCGACCTGAAAAAGGCCCTCTACAAGCAGTTGGATGCCGTCGTCGGACCCAACACCATCCTGTCCAGCTCCACCAGCACTTTTCTGCCCTCTCTCTTCAGCGCGGACCTGAAAAACAAGGCCAATGTGAGTTGAATTCCTGAGATTAGTAGGACAAAAGCTCATTTATCTCCACCTTGAGTTGGGGAAGTGGCAGAATAGATTACATTCAGCATGACTTTAAAGCTGCGCCGTCCTTGTGCCCAATTTGATCCGCTTTTTTTCTTTTTCCATGAGAACGCAATGACTAAGCCCAATTACGCTTGATTTCGTGAACAGGTTTTGGTCTCGCATCCCGTCAACCCACCGTACTACGTGCCTCTGGTCGAGATCGTGCCTGCACCATGGACCAAACCGGAATGGGTGAAGAAGACCCGTGCCCTGATGGAGGAGATTGGCCAGAAACCAGTTACGCTGTCGCGCGAGATCGAGGGATTCGCCCTGAACCGCATCCAGTATGCCATCCTGAACGAGACATGGCGATTGGTCGAGGCCGGCATCCTGAACGTCAAGGACATCGATAGCGTGATGAGCAATGGACTGGGACCGCGCTACGCCTTCCTGGGTCCCCTGGAGACGGCCCATCTGAATGCCGAGGGCATGGCCAACTATTTCGAGCGCTACTCGAAGACCATCTATGCGGTCAGCGAGACAATGGGACCAACACCAAAAATGGAGGGCCCCGTCGCCGTCGAGGTGGCCAAGCAGCTGGGCGAGATGGTGCCGCTGGATCAGTTGGCTCAACGCCGCAATTACCGCGACAACTGCCTCACCCAGTTGAGCATTCTCAAGAACAAGCTCAACCAGTAACTCATTATAATCTTGCTGTTTTTTTTTTTTATGTTGTGATATGCTAGCGCCACATACGTACGTTAAATATACGGAAATTTCTTAACTGATAATCTCTTTTTATTGAATTATTCCTCAGTGGTCTTTCAAGACCGCTGCGAAATGGAAAACTAATAGAGTGTGCTTTACAAGCTGCTTATCTAGCTACTTCTAGGTATTACATGAGCGACAAATCCTTAAAACATAGTATACTTGTGCTTTCACGGCTTAACCTGCCTTAAACGCAATTTTTGTTTTCTTGTAATATGCTGCCAAATAAGTGGTTAACTTTATAAACTCTTCTTTGGTAAACTCTACTTCAGTGTGATTTCGAAACCATAAGGACTAGCAAAAGGGATTTCAAGCAGTGAGTTCGCAGGTAACTTAGTGGGTGGTAGGTGGGCATTCCCAAAGATAATTAAACTAATTAGTTCGATCAGTTCAAGTGAAAAGTAAATATAAAGGATAGGCTACACTGCTAATCCGTTTCGAAACGCAAACTAATTTGGTAAAGTTTTGTATTGAGTGCAGACTGCATATCAGTTCGCTTTATCTTGTGGCGTCGGCCAAAAACAAATGAACGAAACAAAAATATGGTGGGAGATAGCCAAGCCGTTTTCACATTGTCGGTTTATCTTCAAGGTTAACAACGTCGACCTCAGACATCACATTTTAATTCACTTTCAGGCGACATTGCGCCACCGCCCACGGGCTAAGAAAGTGCTCCCCACTCCTATGCAATGTACAATGTCTATCCGGAGCCGCTCTTCTTGCAGAAGCTCGGCCCCCTTATGCTGGGCGTCGAATAGGAGGTATTTGACAGGGATCCAGATCCTGCAGCCATGGCCATTGGCATTAGGGATCTGCGCTGCTGGGTGCGCATTTGTGGCAGTGGTGTGCTCGTGCAGGATATCTTTTGGCCGGTCTTGGTCCTCGATGATATGGGCGTCTGGGGTACACGTGGATGGACCGGATTCAAGTAGGTAGACTCGTTGCTTGCCTTCATAATAGGCGCCACTGGCTTAGTGGACTGCATCGGCTTGACAGATCCATAGGGTTTGGCCACCGATTCGTTTATGGATGGGTTCCTCATGCGGCTGCTCATTAGAGTGAGCCTGCTTTCGTAGGCTTTTGTGGACGGATTACTGGGCGTGGAGAAGGAGTTGCTCCTCTGGCGAAAGGCCGCTGCTGCGCCCATCGGTCCAACAGCGGCTGTCTTCTTCACCTCCCTGGGCGGCGGGAGATTTTCCACCTGGCGATCAGAACGCAGGACTTCCCTGGGCAGCTTTGACTTGTCCTGAATGGAAAGTGACGATGATCGACGGCGCATAGAAACGTTGGACTCACATAGAGGCATTGGTTTGGTCTTGGCAACGTTTTTGTTGCTGTATGCTACCTCAGTGCTGCTGTAGTTGCTGGGGTTCACCAACAGTATGACTGTCCTGGGATCAGCTCCCTGAAGTTGTTTATGATCCGTGATCCCAGTGTTTGCGAGTTTGTGCCGCTCCAGCAGCTCGTTGATCTGCTGAGCGAGTGTTTCGTCGACCAACTCCGTCATAAACGGCTCCTTTCTGGCTACTGACACGGACGGTATCGATGGTAGTGCTGGAAGCAAGTCCTTATCAAATGGTTCCAGACGAGATTCACCATCAAATGTCGCTGTTGATGAGACCATGGCATCGGGAAAGTTTTGTACATTACTGCCTGGTTCATCGATCTCCTCCTTCTGTATGTGGTTAGCATCCAAGGAACGTATTGTCTTTTTACTCTAAACATTAAATAAATTGAATAAGGTTATTTTTGATATTTTGTTAGAAAGTTATAAGACAAACAAACAACCAATAAGCCATTTGCCAATATATTAAAGAACACAGGGCAGCAAATATGCCTAACAAATGTAGGACCCCAAATTCTAATAAATATTTGAAATGAAGGGCTAGAATGTACGGTAGTTACTTGAAGTTCGAGATCGAATGTTCCTTGGCGGGTGTATGAGTATGGTGATGGTATAGATGGTTCGGCTTCCTTAGCTTTTGGACAAGAGCCACCGGGTCCGAAGATGACCGCTGCAATGGATTCAATTGCCATGTCAAACAGATGCCACTTGGACCTCTCGACGTGCTCGTGTGCCAAGATCTTCAGCTGCTCCAAGAGTTCGCTCAAACTCTTGCCATTTGATCGGTCTTCGATTGGTGTTTGTGGACTTTCCTGACTTTCATGCCGCGCGGCATCAATTTTGTCAAGTTTTTCGTGGTTTTCTTCGGCTTTAGCCTTGGGTTCTGCATTGTTTAGCGCGTCTAGGATTGGAATACGTAGCATTTTGAGGTCTTCCTCGAAATTGATACTGGTCGACAGGACGTCGTCGTCCTGAATGAGCTTCAATGGCGACTCTTCTGCCAGCATCTGCAGGTTTTCATTCAGGATTGTTCTCTCAAACTCCGTTTTGGATCGACTGTGGGGTGGTGTGTTAACCAAGGATCGTGAGGCATTATGTTTGAGGAGCTTCTTCTGGAACGAGCTGTTCGGGCGCCGCTTTTGGTTTGTTTCTCCTGATCCGGGTTGGGATCCTGTGTCCGTCTGCATGCAAACTGGAGGACTCTCGCTCTCCAGATCCGGATACTGTCGTTCGGCACTGGACACCTTTTCCTTGATCTGCGAAGTCAAGGTCATGCCCTGAAATTAGGAGAAAAATGGAGTTTTAAGTGAGATGTATGAATGAATACCACTGGTAGAGACCTATCCCCAGAACATTGGGGATCCCAGTGGTATGCAACCTAACCTTACCTTCATGCAAGCTTCCTTCTCCATCAGATCGAAGGGATCGTAGGGCACGTCAAAGTTGGTGGCCACCACAGAGTCCTCCGGCTCTTCGTGCAACGTCTCCTTGGTGGGCTCATCCCATTCGGTCAGGTCAATTAGATTTCGGACATCACACATTTTCGCAGGAACACAAAAATCAACAATTTAACAGAAAAAAACTAATACAAAAAAAACTTCGAAACAACGCCGTGTTTGGCGCTACTATGACTGTATGAGTTAAAAGTTATCGATATACATATGTTACCTGAGCCGAGCGAGGATTTCACCTGCAGCTTTTATAGTCAGTTCACACAGGTTCAGTATCGATAACGATAGAATCGTTTTTACGTGATTCCATTATTGCTAAAAAATTTACTGTTTATTTACCTTTGCAGAAAACATTCCTTTTGGAAATTTTACAAATTATGAATATAACATAACAATTGTACAGCAAATGACGTCTATGCACTTTTTTTATTCATTACAAAGATAATTTAAGTCGTAGAGATAATAACATTTACTACGCAAAAATAGAGAAACATTTTTGAAATGTTGTCACAACAATTTAAGCCGCCATTTAGAGTTTTAAAAAACTGGCTGTAACGTATGACTTTCAAGCCAGACTTCTGCCTTCTTTTAAAGGTAAAACAAAAGACCGGTTTTAAGTAAAACTTCATTGTAGAAAAAAAAGCTCAAGGACAATAAAAGTTGTTTTCTTGGAATGTTAAGAAGACATCCCTTTCACACTGTTTAATTCCTTCTTACGTTAAATTAAATGCTGTTAGTGGTTAGTATGAACCCTTTTATCGTATATTCCATTTCGACCCATTTGCATTTGAATAAATGAATTTGATTTTCTGTTTAAAGATTGTATTTGAATTTACAATTGTTTCCATATATCCACATAAATATTTCTAACAAAATTGTATAATTTCGTGTTCTATATAAACGCACAGATGAACTTTTCGCTATTATGGTGCTAACACATATGCAATAAATATTTTTGAGTAATAATATGTACATATTGATACAACAGAGGAGACTTAAATTAATTGGGAAAAGCTCTTAGGAATTCGCAGAAGACGTCTCTTCGTCCTTCACCTGGGATTCTGCAGGTACTGCAGCATAATTTTGGACATTTGTTGTGACGGTCGTGTAGCAAGATCCACATAGCCTAACTGGATTAAAAAGCTTTTCGTTTGGCAACGGCGCCCAAAATTCCGAGCAGTCAGCACAAAAAATTTCTCCACATGATCTGTAATTGAATCAAAATAGATTTCGCTTTATTAACTGCTCAAAGAAGACGATTGTGTAGAAGAAAAACTAGTTAAATAATATTCTTAAGTAGCTTATCAACTGACTGGGTTGATTTGCTGAAATAGTTTAGTTTGCTGAATAGTTTGAAAAAACCTAAAAAATTAAATTAATCATTGTTTGATTTTTATATATTCTTGATTAGCATAGTTTACACTGTTAGTATAGTCATGTATCCCAGTAAAATAACAAAATTATAACAGGCTTTCAACTCAAGTTGAATATGAGCATCAAAAAAATTGAATAGTAAAATTTAATCGTAGTATTGCACAGTCATAATAAAGGTACGAGAGTCTTATTTACTGACTTAAAGGTCTATGAATTTGATGTCGCTAAAAATGGAAATATTCAACTCAAGCTAAAAATCATACATATTGAAAATCTTTTAAGAGTAAAACAGTAAGGTTTCAAGTGTTGGATGCGCACCGACAATGATGTTTTCTTCGTCCAAGCCAGAACTCAGTTTGACAACTAGAGCAACGTGAAACTGCGTGATCTGGTACCCAGAGGACACTGGAGGCTTTTTTCTCTTGAATCGAGGAAGGGGCATACGATGGGGGACCGCTACGTTCTTCGACGGCTTCCCAGGAACATGTTGAAGCATTTTCAACGATATCCGATCCATTTTCCTAAAGAAGAGTTAAATAATTAGACGACTGAAAGTAAATGCACATTGTTACTTATGATTAAAATACAATATGTTATTTTATAGAATATGCACTTCAAGAATCCACAGACTGAGCTCCCAAATGCCCATGTTTTAAACATATTTGCACACACTTTGCTACGAGGCGCTATATCTAACATTAACCAGGCTTTTCAAGAATATATGGCCGCATCTTATATCTAAAACGAGTATAAAGATAGATTTACATGTTCCATATTTGTCGAAACAATGCTGTTGCAGCTGGGGCAACCTTTTTCCAACAAAGCCAGTCGCATACCGTGTATTTCTCGCAGAAGCATTTCCTCACGTAGCTAAAAAGGAGTATAGGTTATTAAAATAATATAAAGAAAGATGTTTATGCATCAAAGTTTACCTTGTGTTCTTGTACGATTTGGTGGAGTCTTATGTTTTGTTCGCTGAGTCCATGAGCCAGGCCATCTGGACAGGATATAGTGAACTGCGCCCTCTCCTGAAATGGTGTTGGGGGCAACGAAATGACCCCCGACGAAGGGAATTGGTGTGCGCTGAAAGTAGATTTTGTTGTTTTAGCATACACTTATTGCCTTTTTGATTTTCATCAATAAGCCATTGGGAGACGCCATAAGAGATCGATACAACTCACCTGCCATTTTCTGTTGTGAATTTCATGTCGCGACTGTAGCTCGAGCCGAAAGTATTTCGCCGTATTCGTCCGCCCACAGAGGGAGCATCGAATGGCGACTGGCCCACGAATCGCTGAAGGTCGGGTGACATAAAGAGACTTTCCTCAGCGTGGTAGCCATCGGATGCCAGCAGGGATCCATTGGCATTCGCATCTTTGGCTAACTTCTCTGGCTTGCAACGGTCCAGGTTTCCCGTTGTCTCCCTTGGCACTTGTAGGTCCAGGTGATGCGGAAAAGCGTCTACCCGCTGCTGGCATATCACGGCATTCGGTCTAATGTGTACCTTCGGCAAATTATTGTAGCTCTGACTGATTTTACTGGCTTGGACAGCGGTAGTCGACTCCAGCCTGATTCCGACCTGTTCACCACTGACCAGTTCCATTGGGGGTGTTATGTGGTCTCTACAGCTATTGTCGCTGTTCGGTTTTTGTACGGGCTCCGCAGGAATAAGGGTATCAGTGCTGGTTTCAATTGCGCCATGCCACAGGGCGCGACAAATATCACTTGTGTCTTCAGATTTTGAAGGAACTGGATTTTGATCTAAAACCAAATAAGCTAATTAGGTTAAGTTCACTTGCTTCATGCTAACATCTCTTACCGTTTTCGGATGAGCCGAAAACGAAAACAGGTCGCCCGGATCCAGGGATCAGTTGATTTGAGGACACCAAGGAACTTCGCCTTTGCGATTGTGTTTCTACTTCCAATATATCACGGTTAGAAGCTGTACTTTGGTCGTTATGGAACTCTGGAATGGGATTATTTGAACGGCCACATGGACCTACTTCAGTTGCATCCGTCACGTCCAGCTCTACTTCTTTGGAGTCTTTAACACATTCTTGGACAATTTCGTTAACACTGTTGTCGGCCTCAGATCGTATGTCAAACATAGAGTTGCTGTTCGCATTGAAGCAATCTGTAACACTAAATTGCAAGGAAAAGAAATTCAGTTTGCTGACCGATCAAATAATCATTGATTGACCTACATGGATTCAACGGTCAGGTTAGGATCACTGGACCTCCTGGAAAGGGTGCTCTGTCCCAACTCGTTCGCTGTTAAGTCTTCAGAAGATCGTGTCTTCGCCATGAGGCCTATTGGTTGTGGGAGCAATGAAATGTGAGTATGTGGTACATTTCTATTAGTGGTACTTCTTAATTCACCATTGTGTCCGCTCTGTCTTTCATTACTTAGTAATGGCAGATCAGTTCCGTTTTTGTTGCCTAAACTACCAAGGTATACATCAGACCAAAAATATAAAAACCGCACACTGTGCGCCGGCCAAAGAACCTAAAAAACAGAAATCAGAAAAATCATTAGCATTACCCTTCAATCTGCCAGTGTATACCAAAATTACATCTACCTTTTCAGTCTCATGCTTATAGAGAGGATTTCTATACATAGTTTCCGCTAAAAATGGCCACACGGAAAACGTTCGGTCGAAAACTGAATTCTCGATGCGTTCTCTGAGCGAATTACATAGGAACGTGCCGAAGAGACAGGACAACGAATGTTGCGCCAGTTTGATCTAAAAAAATATATAAAAATGGAGTTAATGAGCACTACTCCATGCGATATTCCATTGCACCACTTACCAAATAGCTTATACTGAACTCAAAACTGCATGGATACTGCCTATGTATTTGATGCACCAGATCAAGCCACTGTAGAAAAACTGGACATCGCTCGTTAACTTCATCGGAATTAGGACCATTTCCGGAACGATCGGCGAATTTGTGCCCAAAGTTCAGCCATTCACGCTCGACAAGAACGCGGAACCCCTGCAAATAGAAGCAAGTAAGTGAAGTATAAACCATAGAATAGAAAATATGTATTTCAACGTACTTCAACAGTTCTGTAGTAGGGATCCAAGCACAGTTGTGCCGTGGCCACGATCTGTGGAGTACGATCCCAACCGTCTGAACAGTGGACAAGGACGGGACGTCCATTCTTCTCGATGGTGTGCACAACGGTCATGGTCGCTCCCAACAGGCCCGAAAGGTGCTGCATCCACATGGTCTTCTCTAATTGTCCGTACCAGCTGTGAGAGTATGATTCCATTACATATATGTACATATATCAGTTAAATAGCCTAGTAAACTCACTTTGGATCATCGGGAGATGACGCGCAGAGCTGTCGGACAGCGTGAAAACTCTTTCGAATGGCGTGGATATTGCCCAAGTTCATAAACTCAATCTCTGCGCAGGGATAGTACTCGATGCATTCACAGCCGCCACCTCTGGCTCTATTTGTAACTGCCGAGGTGTAGCTGCGAGCATCCACAATGAGGATTTTCTGAAATGGAATACAATTTAAGAGCAAAGATTAGTTTATTAAATTAGCACTTGGCATTTTGACTTCCTTACTGCTCTGTATTGTTTCTTATATAAATGTACTCATATATATTAATTGAAACATTTGCACTGTGTGTTTATTTATACCAAGGATACCGTACCTTTATTTCATCCAACGTGAGTTCCTCATGCGAGGAATCGTCCAGAGATGGTGAACTCTTGCCGGATAAGCCCGACTGGCCGTTGGTCTCCTTAGAGCCCTTTGTTGGTTGCGCCTTTGCATTGGCGCAGGTGGAATGCCTGGCGTGTTCGCCCCTGTCAAAGGCACAGGCATCGGCGAGTGCCTTGAGGAGCTGCTCGTCCCTTG